TGAACTCAACTTCCTACAAACGAGGAAGACTCGTCCACGACTCAACTACTCCTACAAACNAAGTTACTGCAATTTTCTGTTTTTTTCTTTCTTATTGAAGCTGAAGTGATACTCGTACATTAAATAGAAAACTGAAACAAATCTAAACGACCTCCTAAAAACTTGGAAACAACTTGAACTCAACTTCCTACAAACGAGGAAGACTCGTCCACGACTCAACTACTCCTACAAACTCGTTTATTGACTTCTTCAAGCTTCAATCCCTCCCTTAAACTGGAATTGCTTCCAGTTTACTCTTCCTTCAGACCAACTCCCATGTTATTTCTCAGTCTCTCAAACACTTCTAACTTCACCGGCTTAGTCATAATGTCTGAGAGTTGTTCCTGAGTTGAGCAATACTCCAGAGCAATTACACCTTCATTCACAAGTTCACGAAGAAAATGATACCTTACATGAATGTGCTTACTCCTTCCATGTAGCACTGGATTCTTGGACAATTTGATTGCAGAGCTGTTATCACAAAATAGGACTGTGCTACTCTCCTGATTAAACCCAATCTCCTCAAGTACATTACGCAACCATATCGCTTGAGTGGCTCCATTTGCAGCTGCTACATACTCTGCTTCAGTTGTAGAGAGTGTGACTATGGGCTGTTTCTTTGAGCTCCAAGAAACAGCTCCTCCACCAATCATAAATGTGTAACCTGACGTGCTTTTCCTGTCATCTTCATCTCCAGCATAGTCACTATCAACAAACCCAACTAGCTTCTCTTCTCCATCTCTTCTATACTGTATACCAAACCCAAGTGATCCTTGAACATACCTCAGAATTCGCTTAACTGCAAGCATGTGAGACTCTCGCGGATTCTCCATGTACCGACTAACAATATTGACTGAGTATATTAGATCAGGCCTTGTAGCAGTGAGATACCTCAGACTTCCTACCAGTTGCTTATACATCGTTGGATCCACAACTTCTCCACTTCCTTCTCTGGTAGGTTTATTGCCTGGAATCATGGGATTCCTAACCGAGTTGCAGTCTTCAAGACCATACTTCTTCAAGGTTTCAATGGCATATTTCTTCTGGTTAATGAAAATTCCAACCTCATCTTGAATTACCTCAACGCCTAAGAAGTACTTCATCTTGCCAAGGTCAGTCATAGCAAACTCCTCCTTCATAGACTTCTTAAAGTCTTCAAGCATTGACTGAGAATCACTTGTGTATATCAGATCATCCACGTACAAGCTTACCACCAGAGTGCTCCCACCTTCTTCTTTCACAAAAAGTGTGTGCTCACAGTAACACTTTCTGAAACCTTCTCTCACAAAGTAGCCTTCAATTCGACTGTACCAAGATCTTGGTGCTTGTCTCAGACCATATAACGCCTTGTTCAGCTTAAAGACCTTTTCCCCATCCTTTCCTTCTCTTGTGAAACCTTTAGGCTGTTCCACAAAGACGTCTTCAGTGAGTTCTCCTTGTAAGAAAGCACTTTTAACGTCAAGTTGATAAACACTCCAACCCTTCTGTGCAGCCAATCCAAGTAGAACTCTGATAGTGTCCCATTTTGCAACAGGAGCAAAGACCTCGTAGAAATCAACACCGTGTGTTTGCAGGAATCCCTTAGCCACCAACCTTGCCTTGAACTTATCCACTTCACCTCTCTCATTCAACTTTGTCTTGAACACCCACTTAACCCCAATAACCTTTGCACCATCAGGAAGCTCTACTAAGTCCCAAGTGTGGTTCTCTTCTATGGAATCGATCTCTGCTTCCATTGCTTTCCTCCATTTATCCTCTCTAACCGCTTCTTCAAATGTGCTAGGATCATCTTCAGAGATAAATAATGCCATTATATCTTCATTATCAAACTCCACAAGCATACCTCTGTTCTCACATACGTAATCCTTCATCCATACTGGCCTTGCCTTGTTTCTATAAGATCTGACAGTCTCTGCATTTGATCCTTCTCCCACTTCATGTACTCTTGGCTCAGCTTCTGTATCTATTGGTTCTTGTGTACCAATAGCTGTTTCTTCTTCAGTGTTCTCATTCAGATCTTCTTGTATAACGCCTTCATCTTGACCTTTCTCAGCTTCATCAATCTCCACAAGTTGATCATCTTCAGTTTTTTCTTCCCAGTCCCACTGTTTCTTCTCATCGAATTTCACATCTTTACTGATGATGATTCTTTCCCCTACTGGATCGTACAGCCTATACCCTTTTGATTCCTTGCTTACACCAAACATCACACATTTGATACTCTTCTCATCAAGCTTGATCCGCCTTTCATATGGTATGAGTGCAAACGCTACACATCCAAAAACGCGTAGATGCTCTACAGATGGCTTGTGCTTACTCCACTTCTCAGATGGTGTTGTATCTCCAAGGCTAGCACTAGGACATCTGTTGAGTATATGTACCGCATACTGAGCTGCTTCAGGCCAGAATTTGAGAGGTACTTTCATGCCAAACATCATACATCTCACCATGTTCATGATGCTTCTATTCTTTCTCTCTGCAACTCCGTTTTGCTGAGGAGTGTAGGCGGTTGTGAGCTGTCTTTTAATTCCGTTTTCAACACAATACCCTTGAAACGCCTTGGAATTGAACTCTCCACCTCTGTCTGTCCTTAGACACACTAACTGCTCACCTAGCTCTCTTTCTGCTGCTGCCTTAAACTCTTTAAAAACTCTGAAAGCTTCAGATTTCTCTGCTAGAAAGAACGACCAGCACTTCCTACTATAGTCATCAATGAAGTTGATGACATATCTTTTCCCAACTCCAAACCTCTGCTTGCCTTCCATACGCCCTGTTTTGGTATGCTCTCCCTGATCTGCTTGCCTTTCATACACACTTCACAGACTTCACTACCCTTGTTAATCCTTGGCAGACCGGTCACCATCTCCTTCTCATTCAGTATCACCAGACTAGAGTGACTTACATGGCCGAATCTCATGTGTCATATATCTTCTTCATTTCGTATCATACTCAACATCTGATCTTCTTCCAGCATCTCATTTGACTGCATCACCGTAGCTTTCACTACAAACATCTGGTTTCTTGTCATTCTTGAAACCATGAGTAGTCGCCTTTGTTGTTTGTGCCAGATTTCACAGAGATCCTCCTCTATGACTATCTTCAGTCCTTTCTGCTGCAACTGTCCCACACTTAGCAGATTATTCTTCAGTCCCGGTACATAATAGACTGCTGTTATCACTTGAGTAATGCCGTTGATCTCCATTCTTAGACTTCCTCTTCCTTCAACTTGCATTCTTCTGTCATCTCCCAGCTTAACTTGTTGGCGAAACTTGTTGTCAAGTTCAACAAACCACTCCTTGGTTCCACACATATGGTTGTTGCAACCTGAATCCAAATACCATACTTGCTCAAGACCAGCCTCTGTTTGCGCCATTAGAAGCACATCTTCTTCAAGTTCTGCATAATTAGCACTCTTCTCCCAGCTTGGACATTCATTTTTGAAATGTCCCATTTTGTGGCACTTGAAACACTCTATGTTACTCTTGTCAAAGCTAGTGCTTCTACGGTCAGCACCTCCTCTGCCACCTCGATAGCTCCCTCTTCCTCGAGTGTACTGATATCCTCCTCTTCCTTGTGAAGAACCACCACGTCCTCCTTCAACTTTGAGTACTTGTTCTTCAGTAGCGTGCTTGCTCAGGTTTTGTTCATGAACAAGAAGTGAACTCTGCAACTCATCCACAGACATCTCCTTGATATCCTTCGATTCTTCAATTGCACATACCACATATGTGAATTTTTCAACCAGAGTACGCAAAAACTTCTCAACGATCTTGTCATCAGCCATGTCCTCACCGAGATTACGCATGTCATTTGCCACCACCATCACCTTGGAAACATATTCAGTGATAGTATCTTCTTCCTTCATCTCAAGAACTTCAAACATCCTCCTGAGTCTCTGCAGCTGCGCACTTTGAACTCTCTTGTTACCCTGGTATTTTGTCTTCATTGACTCCCATATATCCTTCGAAGTCTCCTTCTTGGCAATCGTCTTAAGGATCGTCTTGTTGATGGAGGCAAAGAGATAGTTCTTTACCTTAAGATCCTTGAGCTTTGCCTCAGCCTGCTCCGTTCTCTGAACATCAGTCAGTACGACATTCCTCTCCGGTTCTATGATTCCTCCTTCGATTAGATCCCACCACTCCTTGGATCGTAACAGATTCTCCATAAGCATTGCCCAATGCTCATAATCACCATCGAACTTTGGAATACTCAGCAACTTGTCACTCATTCTCACGTCTCAGATCTTCACAATGCAATGAATTGCAAGGCTCTGATACCACTTATTACTTTAGCAAGAAGAAAGTATAAACCTTAAGACACAAGTTACTGCAATTTTCTGTTTTTTTCTTTCTTATTGAAGCTGAAGTGATACTCGTACATTAAATAGAAAACTGAAACAAATCTAAACGACCTCCTAAAAACTTGGAAACAACTTGAACTCAACTTCCTACAAACGAGGAAGACTCGTCCACGACTCAACTACTCCTACAAACNAAGTTACTGCAATTTTCTGTTTTTTTCTTTCTTATTGAAGCTGAAGTGATACTCGTACATTAAATAGAAAACTGAAACAAATCTAAACGACCTCCTAAAAACTTGGAAACAACTTGAACTCAACTTCCTACAAACGAGGAAGACTCGTCCACGACTCAACTACTCCTACAAACTCGTTTATTGACTTCTTCAAGCTTCACCAACTAGTTTCCTGCGTACGGACTTAAAAAATAAATTGATTATCTTTGACATATTAAATGGGTTTTTTTACAGAAAATAATCTCTTAAATTTCGAATTGTTCAGAAAATCTGGGAATTAGAATGGAGTGGTTGAGATTTCATAATAAATCCACATAACTCAGCCTTAAATATAGAGACAAAAAAAAAGAGTTCACACCTAAAAAATACATTTTAAAGAAAGCTCTTTGTACTTGTTCCTTGTTTTCTCATTCGAAACAAAGACAAAAATGACAAATGCTCCTGATAAAGTTAAATGGGTGAATGACATACGGGGTCGCGTCTGTTGGGTCATACTAGCTAGCCTCTGCATGTGTGGATTCACACAACTGATGAAAATATTCAAAGACGAGAATCAACTTATCTACAAGTATATTGGCATGAGTTTGGTGGTTCTCTACATGCTTCTACTAATCAAATCCATCTTCTCTGAAACTCCAACCATAGTTTACGAGTCTGGATCGTGTCTACGGTCATTTGTACCACTAGTGTTTTTCCTCATCATCTTCTTTACAATCTATTATAACCAAACCCTCGAAGCCTCTATTCTCATATTATCCTTTCTTTTTGGTATAGTGGCTTTAGTGCAATTGCTTTTTCCCATTGATGAATTTTATGTGGGTTATGTTGTGGTGATCATAGCTTTGGGGGCTTGCCTAGCATTTGGTGCTATAGACTGTGATCATGATGAGGTCATGTCTATGAGGTTTATTTTCTGGGATATTTTCATGTCTGAATTGATAATTGGTCTTATCAACTATCCAGGAAATCACCGCTTTTTTAATCGCTATTGATCAATATGAATGATCAAGACTTCAGAGGTTACTATGTTTTATTTTGCATTATATACTTTGCAAAGCTTGTGTATATCTCATATTTTTTTACGTAGTATTCAGATTTGTTTCAGCAAAATTTCAGACGTTTTGAAAGTGTTAAATAATTTTATACAGTCTTGTGTTGGAGTTGGGATGTTGAGATTACGTTAAAGATCTTGTTTTGATTTGTAAGAGAGTAAAGTTGGTAACATTAAGAACAAATAAAGTCCATTCAAAAAAGCCTGACTCATGGGCCGAACAATTAGAAACAAAGCCCATTAAGAAAGCCTGACTTGACCAAGAAGTCGGAGGAGACGAAATGTCAACTTTAACCAGCCTTGCGGTAACTACTTGTCTTTTATTCTATAAATCTCTCTCCTCATCTCCCTCTCTCTCCTCACCGTGTCTTCACAAACAACCAAAGCTAACCACCAAAACAAAAACTCAAAGCGTTCTTCTGTTCTACGAAACAAAACAGCTCCGATCAAAAACCATCCACCAGAAACCTAACAATGGGGATTGTTGTCAAGTCATTCAAGGATCAATTCTCCGCTGGTTTGTTCCCACTTAATCTCTCTGTTTTTTTTTTTTAATTTTTTTCCCGCGAAACGTAATGTGCGTAGATCTTTGATGATCGGTCTTTGTTTTTGTTTGTTGGATGGTGCAGAGGAGAGATTGAAGGAGTCGAGCAACATCATTGCCAAATATCCAGACAGAGTTCCGGTTAGTTTTGTCTTAGATCATTATTTTTGGTTTCTGAGTTGACGTGTGATTGTGGATCTCCTAGGGTTCGAATCAAATGCTAGGTTTAGGGATCGTCTGATTATTTCTCTGTTAAGATACAACATGATTACGATATCAACTATTCCCTGATCATCTATAAGACTATAACTCTACATCATTTAATGATTGAGTCAATTTTTTTCTTTCTTTGTCATTTTTTTAAAAATAGGTGTTCAAAAAAAGAGAAGTCAATTTTTAAAAATAACCATGAGGTTGTTGGGCCCATAATGAAATGAAATTGTAGGTTAGGGATCTGACATGAACTTTAAAAATAAAATAAAATCATGTGATTATTTTGTTAATAATGAAATAAAAACAAGATTGATGATATCAACTCTCTCTGGATCATCTATAACAACTATACATCATCTAAGTCAACCTTTATATTTCTTAGTCAATTCTTTAATGATTAAGAGGTTGTTGGGTCCATAAGCCTGTTTCCAAATCATGTAATGTGACCCCCAAGTTGGCAAGTTCTAATCAGTTAATTTCTTGTTTGTTTTCTTCTTCATAATATTCTGTCTTTTAGTATTTGCTTCTTTTTTTTTGGTTTTTTATGGTTAATTTCAGCATTATAATGGTTTTATTAACTATGGATTCATCATAACAGGTGATCATTGAGAAATATTCAAATGCAGACCTCCCTGACATGGAGAAGAGCAAGTAAGTTTTGTGTCATCACACCTAACCAAAAACAAAAAAGTGAATATATATTTCAATACACTAATTGAATGAATCATGTTTTGATCTGTGCAGGTTCTTGGTCCCACGAGACATGACAGTTGGACATTTCATTCACATGCTAAGCACTAGGCTACAGTTAGATCCATCTAAAGCTCTGTTTGTTTTTGTACAGAACACACTTCCTCAAACAGGTACCTAATTAAGCTGCATTACATCCATTAATAAGCAATTGTTTAATCTTATCTTGATTTCTCTGCAGCTGCTCGCATGGACTCTTTGTACAATACTTTCAAGGAAGAAGATGGTTTCCTCTACATGACTTACAGCACCGAGAAAACATTCGGCTAACCCAAGAAAAAAAGATTCGTTGCTTGAATATTTGAAAAAGCTCGTTTTCTGAATAATCCGTTTGTTTCATTCAATATTTGTTTGTGAATAAATGAATGTCAGCTCTTGTTGTTGTTGTTAATTAGCTGACCTTTGTACAGAAAAGCTAAAAAAAAAACATCTGACTTTGTAAATTCTATTCAATAATAAGACAATGTGATGATATGATTCACACGAAATACTTCTTTTGTTTTTCTTCTTCCCTTCGATAAAGGAACACAAACGGTTTCGTGCAAGCACGTAAGTTAGGAGGAGATATGGTAAAACGAGGCCTAAGAAAAATTCAATGTCGGCGAGTTAGACGTGTACCATACGACTTAGATTGTGTGTTATGAGTTGAACCGCAAACTTAAGAATATACAAGTTTGTGTATATCCTTTGGTCAAATTTTATTACTAGTAAGTTCTTTTATTTTTCACAACACACGTTTGAGTTGGGGATGTTACGGAACGATACGTGGCCAATACGATTCTTGGATAAAAGCATCTTTTTATTTTTTGGTCGGCATAAAAGCATCATTGTGTGTGTTTTGGAACTTTGGTGCTCTTTTCCAGTGATATAGATCCGGATATTCCTCACTAATACAGACACAAAACTATATAATAAATTTAATTGATCCAGTACGATAAATAATTGTGCTTCCTATATGGTAATTAAATAATTGCTATAAGGGCCATTTTGTCAAGCTGCAAGGGCTTAGTTTAAGAGAGGATAATATTATCACGTGTTCTGAGACTGGTCGGTCGAGATTCAAAGGCTCAAAAATAAGAGTTCAACAAGACTCAGCAGGAGTTAAAAATTAGAGATGCATGTATCCATGATCCAACCAACTTAAACCAATTCAAACGTCAGCTAAACTATATAACTAAACGGCCAAACCTAAAAGATAACTTGTTTGACTCTATCATAAACTGAATGCTTAACCTAAGGATTATATGGTATGAAAAAATACGAAATTCCTTTTACATGTGAAAATATGAGTAAATGGAACCTTTTTTTTGTTTTAGTAAAATTAAATCTTATATTCCTAATGCAACTATCAACCTTTTTTGACATTTGACACCTCATTCCTCTCTATTAATCTATATATGTAATCATGCAATCATTTAAAAAACATAGTTCACATGTCTACATCGGCTCGTGGATGGCATGTCATTGGTCAAAATGAAAGATGCCATATGTAAATTAAGATTTTAAGCTGAAATGTACCAATATATTTCAACCACAGATTCTCAAGTAGCCAATAAGAAGAAATCTTGATTTTAAGCTCAAATATAATATGCATTAACGCTAGACTGCTATGTTAATTTCTATCAAGGTATTTCATATTTAACTATAATTTGAGCCAACACTTGATAATACTTCATAACGTTTTTTTTCTTTTGGGCAAAACTTCATAACGTTAAACACTGTGAAATACAATGAGAGTTTTGATTGGTCAATATAGCTTTGTAACTTTTGCATATGCTTTTTTTTCATTAGAAAAACCGGTGTTTCAATAGAAAACAAAACCAAAGAACGAGAGTGTACATTTCTTTGTTTCTTTGGACCAGATTGGGCCTTTTAAATAGAAGACAGACCGTTTTAAAACTGTACATATCTCTGTTACTGAACCAGATTGGGCACTTTCTTACATACCATAATGGGTTATTTTGCTTACTTTGATCACAGTCTTCTCAAGTTGGTCGCCTAAAACGCTCTAGACATATTTCTCTATACTCTAGAGTAAGTTCTGAGTACTATTCTATTTTTCTGATCATGAGTTGTAATTTGTAAAGAGGGTTCAATTCATATGCTTCTTTTGTGATAATTAATTTGGAACTTGGTTGCTTAAGGCTATTATGTTGTTTCACCATTTGATTTTATGAAATCTCTACATGTTTCTTGATAAGAAGGAATCAAAGCATTATCTCGAGGCAGTAAAGGCTATTATTCGTGTTCAGGGATTTTGGAAAGGAGAAACATCAACACGTCCAAGACTCGATTTGAAGATTTTGAGGTATCTAATCTTCTTTGCTGCTCTCTGGATAAGGAATAACATTTCAGAATATATGCATGTGTTGTTGACTTGTTCCTTGGACCTTTTTAAATCTTTTCAAGGTATCCTCTGATCAAGATGGGCTACAAAACTCTCAAGCTTCAGAATGCGGAAAAAACATAAAGAATAGATGTTAAATATGTGGTATATCTTTCTTTTTGTTGTTTACCCACAGAAATGATTCTACAATCTTTATGAGTCAATAATTCTCTGTTTTCATATTCATGTCGGCAACGTTTGTTGGAAGAAACAGATAAACAATGGATGAAGATGCCACTTTGAATGTCTTGTGGAGTTTATATGCCTGTCTTAAAATGAATTTTGAACTCGCATGATTTAAAATCTTGAGATGTGCTCATAGATTTAATCATTGGTTCTTATTACTAAAATATTAAGGCTTAAGGTACGTAAGTACTTGTATATAGTTGCTATCAGCAAGAAAAGAAAACAGAAAGTACTTGTATAGTTTTTTTTTTTTTACTAAACTACTTGTATAGTTTCCTTGTATAGTAATCAAAATACTCCCAACAGAATATTATATGATCAAAATGCAATGCAACAAATAAGACAGGATGTTATAGTGCCTTACTCCCCCCAATATTATAGTTAAAGTTTATATTAATCTTATAAAATTATGTGTACTGAAAGTTTATATTTAAATAGAAACAAGAAAAGTAAATTTGCTCGCCGACATTTGGTAGATGAAGAAAGGAGGGGGTGTTATGGCCCAAAAAATCCTTTAGGGAATAACATAATCTCCAAAAGCTGGTCACATGTGTCTCATTCCTGTCCAAGTCAAACCATATACCATTTTATTATTTATTTTGGTACAGAAGTTTAGTAGCTTACTATTACTTTAACCTGTCTTTGCAAAATGCTTTTATTAGTGCTCATTAGGGCTGACTAATTTCACTTTTCAACTTTACAAATCGGAAAGCTTCATTTTCTTGCAATGAAGTGACAGATTGATACGCATAGTGTACGAAGTATCTCAGGTTTGGTCTCAATCATAAACACTTTTTAAATAATTATATCACTAAAGCTAAGTTCAAAGTTTGATTATTCGTTTTTGATATGAAAATTTCTTTTGTTGTGCAAGATTTGTTTTTTTAACAACTTCAGATATGCAAAATTGATTCCATCAGTTGCATTGGTAATAATATACTAAGAACCTTTACTAGCTTCTTTAGAATCAAATACAAACATGTAATAATCTTTTATTCAGAAATCTGGATACTATGAACTATTTATTGAAAGAAAATACCTAGACTCGATCAAATTATAACTAAACAAACTGGATGAGTTTGATTATATTTGGCTTTCGTTGTTCAAATTAATTTATATTCAGTGGAAACACATATTAATGAGTATATTTATTTTACTTTGAACTTTATGAAGAGAATGGGCTGCTTTACCTACTACACTCAAGGAGCCTTCGGGTTCGTTTGGTCAGCGGTTTAATGGACAGTTATTTTGGAGTACATCTGGACCGTTGGTCATCAACTTGCTGTTTTTTTTGCCGTTAGATTGGTCATTTCATGACCAAACCATTTTGACCTCTTTAAGTGATTTTATTGCTCGCAAATAGACTTCTAGTTTGTTGACAAAAAGAAAAAAAAAAGACTTCTAATTTATTTCACGCGCATGTCTAATTAACTGAACATCAGACGCTATAACATATTAAAATTAATTAAAAATGTATTAACAGTTAATGTTATATGATCAATAATATTATGTTTTCTGTTTTATAGTTGATTGAATTGTTCTTAGATAAATAGTAATGATGTTTTTGTTTAAAAATATAAAAAAATTAAATATTTTTTTAATCTCTATGCACAATTCTAAAATGTCATCAATAAAAAACAAAGAGTGTAGTTGTTTAAACTGGACAACGGTCATGAAAAACCAAAAATTAACATAAAAACACAAACATTTAGAAAATACAAAACATTTTCATCTGCCAAACAATACTATATCAAAATGTTTTTGATTTTGCTAAATTAATCATGATCCTAACTTGCCACTGTGATATAATTGAAACAACATTAGCATTGTTTACTAAACACAGCAACTGTAGACAGTCACGAGTGATGTAAAAAATTAGCTGCAGTTTCTTATAGTAGTTATACACCATTGATAATAAACTGGAAACAAACTTGGCCATACAAAACTTTCCAAAATCTAGCACTGTACTTATCTAATCAACATCCCTTTCCTATACGCAAACGCACAAATAAACAACAAATAAAATAGGTCAAGTTATGTAGACTATATTGTTGAAAGTACTACCCAATTTGGTAGCCTAGTGACTGGAGATAAACTTTTTGCTAAAAAAAAAAGTGATTGGAGATAAACTTAACTTGAGTTTTTTTTTTTGTCAACATTTTAACTTAACTTGAGTTTAAGCTTTATAACTGTAGGTATGTACTAAAAATTTTCACCTCACAAAATATCCTTAGAGTTTTTCTGTTTTTAGAAAATAAAAATGGTTTTGATTTTTTTTTTTCATAAAATGTTAAAAAAGAGAATATAAAGAAAATAATAATAAAGTAAAGTAAAGGGAAGGGGGAGGAGTAATGCTAAATGTTTGGCGCGTATATTATTAACCACCACCGGCAAAACACCCACGAAAAAGGCGACCCACGCATAAAGAAAGATCAAAACCTCCCATCACCCTTCCCTTCCAAAAAGAACCAAATAATAATCTTTCTTAATTATATATATTTAATCAATAAAGAAAAACTACTTTATTTTCTTGTAGTTCAAAAAAAGTTTGTAGCTTTGAAGGTTAAGAGAGATCAAGCGAGTGAGAGAGAGTGGTGTGGAAGCAAAACCACGATCTGCGTCTTTTCAGATTTTCCGACAACACTCTCCTTCGATCAGAGCTTTCAACATTCCGACAAAAGCAGAAAAGATCTTTCTTTCGTGTCTGTGTGGGATTTGTCTCTCTCTCACTCACAACAGAGTTTTTAAATGGATCGGTACGATCGCGCCGGTGAAGAAAGGTCGCGATCGGATCCATCTCTTGAATGGACCTCTCATGGAGGTGAAACCAGAGTCGAAGGTAATGTCTTTATAAATGCAGCGCCTTGATTCATCGGTGGATTAAAAAGGATTCTGTTTTTTAAAAATGCTTGTTTTTTTGTAGCTTCGATGTGGCGGTTAGGGTTAAGTGGCGGCGGAGCTGGAGGTGGGGGAGGAGGAGAAGCGTATCCTGAGCGATCCAATGAGCCTGATTGTATTTATTACTTGCGTACCGGCGTTTGCGGGTACGGGTCAAGATGTCGGTTTAATCACCCACAAGATCGTGGAGCAGCGGTAAATAAAGTTTCCCACTTTTTATTTCATGATCTTCGGTTTCAGATCAGTGAGCTTTTGATTTGGTGTTTAGGTTATTGGAGGTGTTAGAGGAGGAGGAGGAGGAGATGGAGCTTTACCGGAGAGGATGGGACAACCGGTTTGTCAGGTTTTGTAATAATCAATCTCTGTTTTCATGATCAGACAATGCGGTTTCAATTGTCTGCTTTGGTTTTAAAATAAAGATGAGAACTTTATTGATTTTTTTTGTTGGTTTGAATCAGCATTTTATGCGAACGGGAACGTGTAAGTACGGTGCGTCTTGCAAGTATCATCATCCTAGACAAGGAGGTGGTTCTGTTCCCCCTGTCTCTCTAAGTTACTTGGGATATCCATTACGTCCGGTTTGTGTTCTATATAATCTCTCTCTATTGGATTATTAGATCATACACACATTTGTATTGTTATGATGATCCCCTAAAGCTTATCTAAAACTGATTAACAGGGAGAGAAAGAGTGTTCTTACTACATGAGAACCGGACAGTGTAAATTTGGTTTAACCTGTAAATTCAACCATCCTTTACCTCAGCAACATCCCTCACAGACTATTTATCCAACACTTCAATCTCAACCAATGCCTTCTTCTCAGCAATATGGTTTAGTTTTGACAAGGCCTTCTCTATTACCTGGCTCATATATTCCAAGCCCTTACGGTCCACCAATGGTTCTGCCTCAAGGAATGGTTACATATCCTAATTGGAATCCTTACCCGGTAAGTCCTCTTAACTCAGCTTTTTAACATTCTTCATTTGCTATTTTTTTTTTTAACTCTGTTGATTCTTTAGGCCTCGTTGACTGCAATGCCTTCTCAACAACCGTCTATTGGATCAAGCTCTGTTTATGGAGTTGCGCCGTTATCTCCTTCAGGGACTACTGCTTATACAGGAACCTACCAATCTGGTAGGCCTTCCCTGACTACTTCCAAAGAAGAATCTTTTCCTCAGCGACCTGATCAGCCAGAGTGCCAATACTTCATGAGAACCGGGGATTGTAAATTTGGAGCTTCATGTAGATACCATCATCCTCTAGATCATGCAGTTCAACCTAACACTGGTGTTCTCCTCAGCTCCATTGGCCTTCCACTTCGTCCTGTAAGTCTTGTTACCATGTTTTTTTTGCTAGTTTTGGTATGTGACAAACTTGTTGAATATATGTTTTGACAACACAGGGTGTAGCGCAATGCACTCACTTTGCGCAACATGGAATCTGCAAGTTTGGACCAGCGTGTAAGTTTGATCACTCGATGAGTTCTTCACTTAGCTACAGCCCTTCTGCTTCTTCGTTAACGGATATGCCTGTGGCTCCTTACCCAATTGGTTCATCAACACTCAGTGGCGCATCAGCTCCGGTAAGCTCAAGCAATGAACCCACCACAGAGACTGTGACTACTGCTGCTGCTACAGTTTCTTCTCCTATGGTGAGTGGATTAAGCAGTCAAGAGCCAGCTGAGATGGGTGGTGGTGACTCAGCTAGTGTCAGTGGCAGCATAGAAGCGAAGACTTCTTCAAGTTAAAGAAAAAAAAGAGAGGAAAATATACTCAAATTCTTGATGAAGTAAACAACATTAAGAAAAAGAGAAAAGAAGATTATTAATGGGGTCTGAAGATTTGATGGAAGCAGCCAAAGCTTGTGTCATTCACCATTTGTCCATACATAAATATAATCTCTCATACGGCCATATCTTTGTTTTTTTTTTTTTGCTTTCTTGAACAAGGTTTACTAGACTAATAAATGGCCTTATTCATACTACATTACATCCCATGTAAATACTGTATCGATGGGCCCCATTTAGGCTTCAACGTACGTGTCGTGTGGCATAACTGTAGTTTTCTTTAAAAAAAATTGCTTACACTATGGACAAGATGAGAAAACTTACACTCTCTATGGACCTTACCTAAGAATTCAATTGGTGAGAAAGCAACTGTAGGATGTGCATCTGTTGATCGTCTTGCAGAAACTAGTGATAATTATGAACCTGCTTCAGCGACTATTACTCCATTTGACCATTTGAGCAGCACTATTAGCTGGAGCATGGGCTGATAGCAAGAAGGAGAAGTCTAACATGGTCTGAAATGGAACCAAAGCAAAAACATGTGGGTCAGAATGTTGATAGTTCAAAAAGAATAGAAGAATGTTTATCATAACTAATAGCGTCACTGTACAAAAATCTGATGTAAGTTTTTATCATAACTCTTTCTTCCGTGTTGATTACATATGTTTCTATGTTTAATTTTAGTGTTGTTTACATGCTTAGATTGCTATGATTCCTTTTGGCTTCTTCTTTTGTTGTTTGTGTCGGTTTCATGGCTTGATAGCAGCAAATAAGCATGTTAGATAATATTTTTAATTCTTTAAAAAGTTTGAGTAAAAAGAACAATATAATTGTTGACAAAAAAAAAAGAAACAAGACATACTTCTCACAAGCCCTGAGGAAACATTTGAAGTCTCCTCTGCTCCATCATTTTGAAGAACCTCCCTAGTAAAAGAGATATCTATTTTTTTTAGTGAGAGGAATAAATGTTTACTAAACACAGGAACAACTTGTTAATGCAGATTAGGGAAAAAATGAAATAAAAAGTACATACCTTCTGTTTCTCCACCTAATGTTGTCACCTATACAAACAAAGCCACCTAACCATTTCTGGGTTAATGTATAAGAAATGAAAAAAACACCAAAAGAATTAGAAAATCTAAAGTTTTGGCAAAAAGTGTGAAGGTTCGGTTTTTTTTTTTGACGACGTCCTCTCAATGGCTGCGTCTTCCTCTTCAACTAATGCTCGTCTCACCAACCCTCCTCACGTACTCTCCTCTCCACGACCGTCACCAACCTCCGTCACTAACCTCCGTCTTCCACCCGCTCGGTTCAAATCAAATCTCTTCTCCTCCGAACTCTCTTCCTTACAAATCAGAAGTGTGCCGGTTCCGGTAGTATTCTCCGATCAACGAAGACGTAAAAGCATGGAGCCAATCAATGTCTATGTCAGTGATTCTCCCCTTAGTTTTAATTCTTTATTTGGTGTTCTGTTTTGTTTAGTTAGTGGTTCTGTTTTGTTTCGGACAGTGCTAGTAGCTAGAGAACGGTTGTGTAATGTTATCTTGTTTTTTTTTTGTGACTTTAGGTGGCTTCAGGCTCCATGGAAACTGAGATTGGAAGTGAAGAAAGTGCGAAAAATCGGAGCTTGATCTGTGCTCCGGTGATGGCGGATTCAGTAGATGAGATGGTGACTGAAACGTGCAAAGCTCAGGACTTGGGTGCAGATTTGGTGGAGATTAGATTAGATAGTCTGAAAGAGTTCAACCCTCTTGAGGATTTGGAAATAATAATACAGAAGTCTCCTCTGCCCACTTTATTCACCTACAGGTTTGTGTGTGTGTGTGTGTGTGTATACTCAAGCTTAGAACTTTTATTGTGTTTGATATGGAACTTCTTATGTTCACTTCTGTTTAGCTTTTAATGAATGATGCTGCATTCTTTTACTTTTAAGTTATTGGATAGTTCTTGTGTTGCAGTGTATGAGTAATATTGTTGTCTTTGTATGATGACTTCTCTGTAGGCCAAAATGGGAAGGTGGTCAATATGAAGGTGATGAAAATGAGCGGCTGGATGTGCTCCGTTTAGCCATGGAACTTGGAGCTGATTACGTTGATGTTGAGCTTCAGGTTACCTTCATTAAAAACTGAAGAATGTTTTGATGCTGTTTAGTTTCTCTCCTAACTTCATAATTTAAATGTTTAAGGTTGCTGATGAGTTCATCAAGTCGATTAAAGGGAAGAAGCCCGTAAATTTCAGAGTAATTGTTTCGTCTCATAACTATGAGATTACCCCTTCCGTTGAGGAGCTCAGTGACCTTGCTGTAAGAATACAGCAAACTGGAGCTGACATAGTGAAAATTGCTACTACTGCTGTGGACATCACGGATGTTTCTCGCATGTTCCATATAACCTCAAATGCTCAAGTAAGTCGCCTTGTCTTGCCTGTTGGCATTAGGTAGAATCAAGCGTTTGCTGCTGATCTTTTTTCACTCAAATTTCAGGTTCCAACGATTGGACTTGTGATGGGTGAAAGAGGTCTGATGTCTCGGATTCTTTGCTCAAAATTTGGTGGATATTTGACCTTTGGTACCTTAGAGTCTGGAAAAGTTTCTGCGCCTGGTCAACCAACGATCAAGGAACTGTTGGATCTTTACAACTTCAGAAGAATTGGTCCTGACACTAAGGTGTATGGAATTATTGGGAAGCCTGTCAGTCACAGCAAATCACCTGTTGTTCACAATCAAGCTTTCAAATCTGTCGATTTTAATGGAGTATATGTTCACCTGTTAGTTGATGATCTTGCAAGCTTTCTCAAAACATACTCATCCTCTGATTTCGCTGGATTCAGGTTAGCTATCATGGTGATAAATAAGTTTTTTTTTCTCTCCAGTGTATAAAGTAATGAACAGAATCATTTTTTTGTGTCTGCAGCTGTACAATCCCTCACAAAGAAGCTGCATTGAAATGTTGTGATGAGGTTGATCCATTGGCCAAGGTCTGGTTTGCTAATAACCACTAGATAGAGTGAATAGCCGTCCTGTTTAACTCTGAATGTTTGGTTTATTATCTTTTACAGTCTATAGGAGCTGTGAACACTATACTAAGGAGACAAAGCGATGGAAAGTTGCTGGGTTATAACACGGATTGTATTGGTTCCATTTCTGCTATTGAGGATGGCCTTCGAAGTAAGTTATGTGCTCTCAGCATTAACCTGTTGTTGCTCCTAGTGGTTTCACTCATGTGGCCTTTTTTTTCTTTTGTTAAGGCTCAAGTGATCCAAGCAGTGTACCTTCTTCTTCTTCACCATTAGCTGGTAAAACAGTGGTGGTTATTGGTGCTGGTGGAGCAGGTAAGGCACTTGCTTATGGTGCAAAAGAGAAGGGAGCCAAAGTTGTAATTGCTAATCGAACTTACGGTAAAATACATGTGATCTGTTTCCTTTAGATATTCTATTACCAGTCAAGCTCGGCCTTGACACCAGTAACTGATGATATGATTCTTTTCTGGTTCCTGGTGTTGTGTGTTTTGAAGAACGAGCACTAGAACTCGCAGAAGAAATTGGAGGCAGAGCGTTATCTCTCGAGGATTTAGATAACTTCCACCCAGAAGATGGAATGGTATTGGCTAACACCACGTCTATGGGTATGCAACCAAATGTTGACGAGACTCCCATTTCAAAGGTTAGCTCTTCTCCTTGCAACAACTACTCTTGCCTTGGAAAGACTTTAATTTACAGCTTCTGTTTCTCCAGGATGCATTAAAGCACTACGCACTAGTCTTTGACGCGGTTTATACACCAAGAATCACACGACTGTTAAGGGAAGCAGAAGAATGTGGAGCCATAACAGTGTCGGGGTCAGAGATGTTTGTCAGGCAGGCTTATGAGCAGTTTGAGATTTTCACCGGTTTGCCTGGTAAGTGTGACCTCATACCAAACACAACACATGTCTCTGGTTCCATAAAGCTGAATTTACCACTCACCTCTGGGTTGTTAATATGAAAACTTTATGTTGGATTTGTTGTGCAGCTCCAAAGGAACTATACTGGCAAATCATGTCAAAGTACTGAGACCTCGCTTGTGTGTGTTTTTGTGTTTGTGTATGTGTATCTTCTTCTTACTTCCATGGAAACTCAATTCCAATAATTTTTTAGAAAATTGCCATTTGTATCTCAGAGAAAGACCTTTTGTGAGGTCATATCTGGTTCTTTCTGTGTATTTTTATATATATACGATAAAACTTGTTGAGTTGATGATGGAAACTAAAAATATTGCATTGTGCACTGTCGATTACTATTTACTGCTTCAGAAATTTGCAAATTTTGTTTTCTTGTCTTTATGACAACATAGTTAATCACTTTACTACTACAAGACATATATACGATTTATATCAAATCTCATTTATTCACATGTAAATTGGGAATAGAAACTAATAAAAAAATATGAACAACAAAATCACTCACTATTAACTTCTTTTTCTTGGCAGGATTCACTATTAAATATTCTTTCCTTTCCATTAAGATAGATCTTTTAGAAAGAAATTTGTTTCACAAAGATATACTTTTTATGTTTTGTCCAATAAAAATTTGTCCAAAAAAAGAGATATACTTTTATGTTTCCTATATAAAAGTGTATATTTTTAAAAAATGTTGAGTTTGTTGAATTCCTATTGGCTAAAAGTTATTGAAAATTGTCAAAAGTAATATATTTATGATAAAGACTTAATGTACTTTTTGAATGTGTGTAAAAAGTAAAAAAGTTTATCTTTATGGAACGAGGACAGTACTAACTTATTTTGACAAAATTTTCAATTTTCAATTAAAAAAAAAAGAAATTGCAAAATGCAGTGAATTTTTTTTTACAAAAATTTGTTTCCCGCCAAATGAAATTGGGAAAACGATGATTTTCCCACGCAAAAACGGGAAAACATAATTAAAAAGGTCTCACAAAGAGGTTTGTTTCCGCCACAGATCTCTCTCATTTTCTGTCACACTCTCTCTCTCCGACGTCTCGTCTCCTTCTCAGCAAAGAAGTAAGTAAGCTTTCCTTTTTTTTCCCTGTGTTCTATCTGATTTGTGTTTTCCATTATTTGATTCGTAATCTCTGTTGTCTGAATCTGAATCTCAACGTAGCTGCTCCCTCACCTTATCTTCTCTTGTAGTAATTTTCCCAGATTTTTTGATTACTCTGTCTTTGGCTTCAAAGTTTAATTTTTGTGTTGCTTTCTCCCAACTCTTAATTCTAATTAAAAGTGAAGGGCTGATCTGCAATTAAGTCATAATACGTCATCTGTTGAAAAAACAACCCCAAACTTTTAACATCTGTTTAAAATAAACCCCAAACCTAAATCAAATTTTCTAGAAATCACAATTAACCAGAAAAAAGGTTATACAGTTTTTTTTTTTAATTTTATCATCATCATACATCCATCGTGAAACTAACCCGGAGACTCCTTCTCCGCCGTTGGGTCTCTTCCCTCCGGTGAGTGAGCTCTTGATACTAAGTAACCCTCACGGGTTTCGAGATCGGTTTTAATTAAAAAAAAAACAATTAAACTCTGTTTTGTTCGCTTCACCGATTCGCCTCTGTATCTGAGATATTCGCCGTTGGTATTACATCGTTTGTTCGAATTTTGGGTTTTGTAGAGAACGTAGACAGATGTCTAGGGTTTTTGTGTCTTTTTGTCTAAATCCTCGAAATGTCACAAAAGTTACATTTTACCAAAGGTTATACCTTTTAGCCAAAGTTTGTGTTTTTATAGTATCACAGGCTCAGAATAGTATCAAAGGTTACCTTTTAGCTAAAGTACGTCTTTTTATAGTATCACAGGTTCGGAATAGTATCAAAGGTTATACCTTTATCAGTGATTTATGATTCATCTATCTGATAGAAGCTTTTATATCTCTCTCTGTAACAGGATCCAAGCGTTGGTGGATCTTGGAGAGTCCCATTCTTGGATTGGCGTTTCTATGAGATACTTGTGTTGAGGTGATTATGAATATCATCAACAGAGAAGAGGCTCTTAGAGCCAAAGATTTAGCAGAAGGGTTAATGGAAAAGTCTGATTTCACCGGAGCTCGTAAGCTCGCGTTGAAGGCTCAAAAAATGGATCCCACCTTGGAGAACATAACACACATGACAATGGTGTGTGATGTGCACTGCGCTGCAACAGAGAAGCTTTTTGGGAACGAGCTAGATTGGTACGGTATACTTCAGATTGACATGTATTCTGATGATATAGTCATCAAGAAACAGTACAGGAAGCTGGCGCTTCTTCTCCACCCTGATAAAAACAAGCTCCCCGGTGCTGAGTCTGCTTTTAAACTGATCGGTGAAGCTCAGAGGATACTTTTGGATAAAGATAAAAGGAGTGTTTATGATATTAAACGTAGAGCTTGGAGAAAGCCTGCACCAGCACCAGTGTATAAAACTCAACAGGTGCCGAGGAACCGTGCACAGCAGGCAAGTGTTAACTTGAGGAATGTTTACAACGATTTGAGAGCTAAAGCCACACCACCAGCAGGTTTCAGTCACCGTCCAACGTTTTGGACCTCTTGTCCCTTCTGCAGGTTGAGGTATGAGTATGGTAGGGAACATGTCATGAAAGAAACTACTTGTCTGGGTTGCAGAAAACAGTTCACTGCTTTTGAAATCCCTTGCCAAAGTGTACCACCGGCGAAAAACTCTAGCCAGACTACTTCTTTCCCACAACAGAACAAGTTTCCAGCCCAAAATGCTTGCAGTGAACCGCCACAGCATCCAGACGGTCCTGCCACTGTTCCCTCTGGAAAGGCAACTACTGTTCCTTCTGGAAAGGCAACAGCTACTGGAAAGATGAAGAGAAAGAGAAAGTATATGGATGAATCTAGTGATAGTTCTGACAGTGAAAGTGATGACGAGTTCGGAGATGTTGTCAATGGTGATACACAAGGTTTGAGGTCCAATGGAGGACAGCAGCCTCGGAGGTCAGTCCGTAGCAAGCGGCAGGTTTCATATAAGGAGAATTTGAAGGAGGATGATGTAGACTTAGTTAATGAAGATGGGGGAGAGTCTGGGAAAAATATTGATACTGAAAAGGAAGAAGAGCTAGAAGGCGAAAAGCAGACACATGAAACCTTGCCGAATGGCATAACCCGAAAGGAGAAGATTGAAGAAGATCAGGTGAAGTTGGAAAGCGAAGATAGTGGCAATGATTCAGAGGAGGATTTATGTTCAGGGAGTGAAGCAAAACCAAAGGTTATCAACTGTGATGATCCTGAGTTCAGTGACTTCGATAAGCTGAGGGCAGAAAGCTGTTTTAAAGCTGGCCAAATCTGGGCTTTATATGATGATGGAGAAGGAATGCCTAGATTTTATGGTCTCATAAAAAAAGCTACAATAACTCCAGTTTTCTCGGTAACTTACATATGGTTAGAGTCAGAAGAAGATGAAGAAGAACGAAACTTGCCTGTTTCTGTTGGTAAGTACGAACTTGGTGGAGAGGAGAAGACAGATAACACTGAAGTTTTCTCTCATTTGGTCGAGAGCAAATCAAGAAGCAGGCGCTACTTTAAGGTATTCCCGAAGAAAGGAGAGACGTGGGCTCTTTTCAAGAACTGGAACATGGACTTATCCTCAGGCTCTTCTCATGAGTATGAGTTTGTTGAGATCCTGTCTGATCATACAGAGGGAGCCGCGATATTAGTGGGGTTCTTGTCTAAAGTAGAAGGCTTTAAATTTGTTTTCTGTCCAGTGCCAAAGGATGGATTAGACACTGGTGAGATTCCACCTCATGAGTTCTGTAGATTCTCACATGGGATTCCTTCAAACAGATTGAAGGGAACAGAAGGGAGAGGCATCTCAGAAGGTTGGTATGAGCTTGATCCAGCTGCTTTACCAGTCCCTGGCTCTCCACCTTCATGATCTGCATATTGACTTAGTCAACTAGAGGCTGGTTGTGTCCATGACTTTACTGACAAAGAAAAGCTATTCAGAGGCCTTTTGTTAAGCTCAGATACCTGTGTTGCTTCAAGACATTGAATTCATGATTAGGAGTTGTTTTGTTGCTAGCCTCTGCATTTTCTATTTTCTTGGTTTACTCAGACTTGTAAGCTTAATCGGCATATGCTTTAAACTATATTGTTGCCATAGTAAGAATCTGTGATAATCCATTTTCACTTGAAAAGAGCATCGTTTCAACTTTTCTCATAAAAACTCTTTTTTACCTGATACAAATTTCTCTTTTACAAAGTATCATCGTCTCCTCCAAAAGAGACTAAAGCGGCACAAAAAGGAACTTGATTAAACATATTCCAAGAAGAGTGGGTACATTTACATTTAACATGTCACTTCTGGAACATATGAACAACTTCTTCCATGGTACAAACTCAATGAAGAACAGAAACCAAAACCAAAACCAAGTTGAGTTTATATTCATTCATACTTGAGTTGAGTTTTCTGCAACACGCATACGCCACGCAAAATAATGAAGGTACAACGAGTTTAAGCACACGGCAATCCCAAAACCAAGAATCCCTGCAAACAGTATAGAATACATCGGCTGTAGTCCAACCTGAAACAGAGAGATTGAGAAAAGTGTTTTAGTTTTCATTAATCAGTAATCATATGCGGGAGAACCCATTTGAGTGAGAGTATTGCTTACCATAGAATATAATAGATGAACCAAAATGCCCACAAGAGCAAACTCAAGTGCTGCGTATGTCCATATATATTCTCTGATAGCTGCAGAGTCAGATTACAATAATGTAAGGTTTTTCAGTTTTTGATGTCACACAAAGGAAAGAGCCAGAGTTTGGAGGTCTCTGTGGTTGTGTTTACCTAAGACAATGGCAAAAAGGGATGCTAAGAGGCCCAGCATTAATGAAAACGGCGCTGCTATGTAGACAGCTTGCGTGCTCAAGTCCCGAATCTACAAAACAAACATGTCAATATCTTTTTGCAACAAACATGTCAAATAATTTGTATCGGTGGCTACCAGTAATTGCTCGAGGAAGAAGAAGTAACAGACGGCGCTTATTAGAACCAGCACTACAAACTCCTGCCAAGCACTGCACCAAAACCATTCAGTTCTCAGTTGTGTTATTTCGAAGAATCGTGAAAAACGAAAGAAGACTCTTGAAGTTACCTAGCGGTTTGTGACTGCATATGCTGTTGACTACGGTCACGCATGTTATTTGGTTGATTAATTGTAGGCACACGAAGTAATATAACTGGTAAGTTTTTAACTTCTTGTCTACAGACGTCACATGTTCTTGTCCCCTTTGTACTAAACCACTTAATGGCACACGCTTCATGAACAAGTCTGAGGTCACCTTTGCAGCTGCACTCCATTTTTAGAGTATTGCCTTCTTCGCACACGTCCAGACAGATCCTGCACACCGCTTCTTCTTCTGGAATTTCTTCATCTGTTTCTTCTGTAGGAACGGGAGAGACTTGATCTGCCAAAGAAGGAAGAAGTAGCAAACACAATTCAAAAACGAAACTAATATCATAAGCAATATGCTACAGTGACTGCATAAACTCAACAACCACATGATAACACTTGAGAAACATACTGGGTTTGATCAAAGATATGTTAAAAATGTGTACCTGAGTTTGTTACAGAGGAAACAAGAGCTTTGTGGTTTTCAAAAGAAATGGATCTAACAATCACTTTGTTTATCCCAGGCATGGACAAGGACCTTGGAACTGCTGGATAAGTAGGAACTTTCTGCAACACAATACAAATTTTCAGCTATGATTTGGGCAAGAACAGGAATCCATTTAGTATACTTAACTTCTTTACACATTGTAATTCTATGAAAGCAAATGACTCACGTTAGGAGGTTCACCGGGCACACCAACTGGAACCTGAGCAGATACCACAGGAGACAACTTTGCGGCATGTTTAGATGGAAGCGACAAACATCTTTTCCAATAAGGAGAAGTCGTTAAACCGTCAGTGTTTAGGGGTTTAGATGTTTCCATGGAACCGGGAGATAGTAGAGAGCTTCTCTCGCTTTCAGGATGAGCTGCAACTTTCTTTTTCAAGCTTAGATTCCGCAAGATTCCTCTTGGTGAGGATGATGTACTGCGACTTTTGAATGAAGTTATGGACTTTAGAGAACTCTTTGGGCTATGTCCGCCAACAAATGGAAGTGGCCTAAGGGGTATTTGTATAGAAATATCCAAGTTGGTTCCGCTTGATTGAGAACTCTTGAAATCTTCAGTAGGTTTTTCGTTCACCTGAATATCACAAAGTTCAGGCCTTTCTCATGCACAATAAAGCTAAATACATTTGTACTTCTTTTCTTCACAAAGGCTGAGTTTTTCTTATAAAACAATTATTACAAATAAAAGTGGCTCATGTTTTTCTACATCTTTATAATACAAACACAAACAAAATCAAAAAGGAGATTCCATGGCTACTAAGTGAATCAAATAATATTAAATCCAGATTCCCAGCCTATATAAACCCTAAATCTTTGCAGGAAAATCGATTAATAATCAAACCGTATCAATCTATATCAGGAAGAAACAAAATGAACAAACAACAGAGAAACCCCCAGATACGGTTTCTAGCGTTTATTCAAGTTACCCGCGTGAAAATTAATATGCTGAGAGGAAAAAGCTAAAAGATTTACCTTATTATCAAGAAACCCAGAATCATAAATTAGGTTTTTTTTAAATAAGAAAGGAAGAGATTCTTTTGGTTTGGTTAGGAGAAATGCACCTGAGAATGTGGAGGAAGAGGAGAAGACGAATCCTCCACGATTATAGCGATTTCAGCTGTCGAATCTTTTTCTTGCTTCTTCATCGAATAAACCAAACGGGTGATATAAAAATTAAACTATATGAAATCAAATCAAAATCAAAGCTGATCGACAAATATTCTGAGAGAAATGGAGGAGAGAAGCTAATGTATGTATTTAATGAAATAATTTCAGGCTTTTTTTTTTTAATATTCAGAGAAATGATTAAGCCGTATACGGAAAGATTAACCTTTTTCCTTTCACTTACGTTGCCAGTGACACTCTTTTATTACTGTTCTGTAATTAACATAGATTTGAATATTAGAAAAAATATATATTTGAAGATTAGTATATAGTTACTCCTTAATTATTGACAGACGAAATCGAATCATATAACCCCTGTCGTTTGATTTCGACGAAGATGACGAGGATAATTCAACGTTACGAGTTTCGAGCCTGATGCTCTTGTCTCTGTCATCATGTCACTTTCTCCTTCCTTTCTTACGCGTTGAAAGATTTTATTCCAAGTAATTTTTGATCAAAAAAAAAAAAAAAGTAACATTTGTTTTTAAAATGCTAATTAAAACTATCATCACCCTATCTCATCTTCAAACATAAGTTGATTAACTTTATAAATGACTTTATGCACTTTCATTTACACAAATATCATGGCCAACTTTGAGATTTTGAATTCTTTAAAATTTAATGAAAGTGTTAATTTCTTTCTTTTTTTTTTTTACAAAAATCTATGTCAATGTAATTTTTTTCAAAACTAAATTTGGAGGCCTATCTCATTGAATCATGATATGATAATGACTGTTTCAAGCATTTGTTCTTCTAACACACCTCTTGTTCAATTTTCACTCTGTGCATAACTGCATAACTTAACCTACAAGTCAAGCTAGAAAACGATCACCTTTATAGACCTAATTAAAATGGAGAGAACGTTGTTAAAAGAACAAAACCCATCAGACTGAAGAACAAGCGACGTTCATCAACGAACAACGATTCATCAGAAACAAGAAAAATGAGGGAAACGAAGCTCAATCAAGATAAGAAGTACTTAAAAATTGTACAGAGTGAGAATATAAAAGTTTAAACTCTTTTAATTAACAAGCTTTACAGCTACGCCTGCAGTTTCCAGGGAGCTCTGGAGTTCCCACCATATACTCTGGGTTCTTTGCGCATTCTCCAAGCACTGCCCACCTTTCACAGCTCTCGTTTACATCCGTACAGTTACCGTCATGTGTCACAATCTTATCGAATGAGTCCACGTGGATCCACTTAGTAGCTGACCATTTCTCTCCTTCAATCACAGGACAACCTCCATGAAGGCTCAGTGTATCTGGAGTTGCGTCTTCGTGGAGGTTGAAGAACAACAACGCATCTCCTTTCCTCGGTTTCACTATAAATATAACATCACACATAAATAAAAACATGTTTTAAAACATTCTTAAAGATAAAAAGGGACAGACTTATGATAAGTTCTGTAGTAGCTCACCAGCGATTCCTTTCTTTGCACAATCAGAAAGGTCATCTTTGTTTACAGAAAGCTTGCGGCGAGATGTTTCCTGCGCATAAATGTTCATCAGACCAGACCAGACCAGAGTGTCTATTGTATATATATGTAAGTAGGGAAGTGATGGTTTTGTTATGAGTACAAACCACTGCATCAGGGAAAACAGTTTCTCCACCCTTTGTGACATTGGAAAGATACATGAGAACCGTTGCTATGCGGTGTCCACCACGGGCGATGTTGACTTTGTCGTGGAAGTAGTCAAAGTGAGCGTCATATTTTTGACCGTGCTCATATCTCAACACCTGAAGGTCTTCTCCATTTTCTGTCACCATAGAGTGTAATGACTTAGAACAAGAAACATATTCTGAAAAGCTCTTCCAAGAGACTCAACAAGAATTAAGGTTCCTTGTTACTTGATCACCAATTACTAGGATTCAGAATGTCTTTGTTACCTTTTGGGAGAAATGTCCATGTAGAGAGCTTGTCCTCTATACCAGAAACAATAGGATCCTGTGATCAAGCAAAAAAAAAAACCTTTACATGAATAATTGTAATCATTACTAAGTACCAACCATAATCTATGATTTATCATCATAAATACTTAGATGCATATTTTGTTGACTAGCAACTAGCTATTAAACCTTTTAGTCCTAGTAGCAAGCATCAATAACAAATCTACCAAGATCTAGAAATCTCCATAAACATGATCAGTGTAAATCAGAATAAAATCCTGTAAACTAGAGATCTAATCCATCAGACATGAAAGCAATAAAGAAGAAACACTTCACCTTTCCTTTGGAGATAAACGTGCCGGAGCTGGTCCTAACATCACTAACTTGACTCTCTCCATTATCGTTATCAGCAACCGCAGATCTCTGCAGATTCTCTTTCGCCTTAATAACAAAAATCAAAATCAGAAAAATTCAAAATCAAAACTTTTCCACAATTGATATCATACCCAAAAGATTTAGTTTGCACTTACAAGTGAGATCAGATGATCACATTCAAGATCCGTTAGAAAACCTTCATACACAAATGCCCTGACCTCAATTTTTCTCCAATTCATTAGAGAAGAAGATACAAATTTTAAAAAATTTAATTCAGGATTGAGGAAAATCAAACCTGGGTTTTGAGGAAACCTGTTTGACTTTAGAAGGGTTGATGATAGAACTTGGAGAACTAATCAGAGATTTAGAAGACTGAAGCTGGACTAGGAAGACAGCCACGAACAGCAACAATAATCCGCAGCGAGACATCGACATTACTAACTCAGTCGCTTGGAGAGAGATCTAAAACTGGGAATAAGTTAACTTTTTTTTTTTCCAGTAAAATAAAGGGGGAAAGTTCTTTTTTTTCTTTTTCTCTTCTTCGGACAAAATGTCAACGGTAATGAAAAGCAGATGATCGATCTACCTAACGAGATGGCGACGACATGCGCACGTTGTTTTGTCAATAATAATCAATACAAAAGCCCATAAAAACAAAGAGTCAAGACTTTAGTAGACTAAAGCCCAATAATAGTCGTCGAAAGAGGAAGCGACGTCGTATAAATAAAAGCCCATAAAACAAAGAGTCAAGGCTTTAGTAGATTAAAGCCCAATAATAGTCGTCGAAACAGGAAGCGACGTCGTATAAATAAAAGCCCAAGACCAAGTTTTACATTAAAAGCCTGATATGAGATTCAAATACGGTTATACTACGTCGTGTTGATAAAAGGGCAAAATCATCCCCGCCGAGAAGTCACAACGGAAGGGGCCTGAGCAGATCAGAAAACTCGATTTGGTTTGGGTTTGCTTTCGAGTTTTACCCGGCGACGAATAGTAAACCAAATGTTGAAGAAGAATTAAATAGAGAAGCAGCTTAATAGAAAAATAAATTTCTTAAAACTCAAATTATACAGAGATGGCGTTTAAGCCGTTCGGTAAAGATGTAGGACCGGCGATGAGCTCCAAGCCATCTCCGTTTACAACGTTTGGCGCTTCTTCTTCTGCTCCAGCTCAATCCACCAGGTTTGCATTCCTATTCCTACTTTCCTTCCAATTCTTTTTTTTTTAGATTGATTTTACGCTATGGATCAATTACGCTGTAGAGTTTTTTTCTTTTCCAGATTCAATTGAACTGTTTAGGATCACTAAATAGTGAGAAGTATCCTGAAATTTTGTTCTAATAACATTTATTGCGAATGTAATTTGTTTGCTTGCGAATTTTGACTCTACAAACTGTGGATTTGCTTGTAGTGATTCACCTATTCAACCACAGGCGACTCAGAACCATTCAGCCTATGCAGGACAGTTTTTTGGACCAGGTGGAATTCAAAGGTTAGATAAGACTTAGCTTTATAGCTTTGGTTTCTCTCTATGAGAGAATGTTAGGTTGTTTGTGAGCTTATTTTCTTTAGGTCTTTAACTTTCTATATCCTTTACAATCTAACCTTCTTGTTGGAACCTTTTTGCTTGTAGTGGTGGTGCTCCAGTTCAGCGAGCACAGCCTTCTTCGGGTTTTCAAAACCCTCCACCTTTTATAGGGCAGCCTTACCGACCAGGTGGGGTACAAAGGTTAGTGATTCTTAACTGTATGGCTTGGGTTTTTCAATTTCTCTTTCAGTTTTATATGCCTGAAGATGGTGTTACTGTGGTTACTTGTTTAATTAAGTTTTCCTTGTACTAATTTATCATGGTTTTCTTGTAGTAGTCCTTCAACGAGTCGAACACCACCTCCTTTGGGTTTTCAAAATCCTTCACCTTCCTCAGGACAACCTTACCGACCTGGTGGAAGTCAGAGGTTAGAATAAAATTACTCTTATGGTTCTCTTTTCTTTTTTTTTTTGTCTCTCGTTAGATGCGTGTAAATGATCTTTGGGAAAGGTTTGATCCGAATTAAGTGGTGATGGCATAAACCAAGTTATATATTTCGTCCGCTTTGATTGTTTTTTTTTCTGGTTGAATCTTCTGAATGGTACACTTTTATGCTATGTTTTTCAGGAGTACAGGACCAGTCAGTGGAATACAATGGGGTTCAGAAGGTTTTCCACGTCCAAGCCCCTCTGTGAGACCTTACCAATTTCCTGGAGTTCAAAGGTAAAAGTCGACTTTTGATATTTTCCATTTAGAATAATGTGATATTTGACAGCTTGGCTGCAGTGTTAATCACACAATTCAAATGCTTTCAGTTTTCTGCAATAGTAAATATTGCAGTATGAAGAGAGAGCAGGGTTTGGCGGAGTGCTATAGGTTTCTCTGCCTTTCTGAATGCCTGATACGTAGAGGCTTATTGTGGCAGCGGCTTTAACAACAAGCTGTTGGATTGTTCTTGACGAATTCCCTGAATTTCACCTGCTTCTTTTTTTTTTTTTCATTGCAGGCCTACTCTAAATCATCAGTTTGGGCATGATAAAACAAGGAACTTCATGAAGGATCAGAGTAAACATAGTCTAGCCACGTCTGCAGCTAGTATATCACACACTCTTTCGAGAAGTGGAACTGATGTTGTTGAGATTGGTCGATCACAAGATTCAAAAAGGAAAAGGTCATTTTTCTTCTATTTCCTTTAGATGAAGGCCATTTATGACAGCAACCTCTTTTTGCAATAGACACTCTGTCCGTTCCGTAGTACTTTCATATCCTTGACTTTCTTAACACTTGTTCGTTTGCGAAAGTTTGTACACCTGTGTACTGCCTCATGTACAATTCTCTTTCAGATTTCAAGAGTTTGTTGTGTGCTCTTGGTGCTAGAATTTACCTGTCATACGCTTGTCTGTGATGCTTAGTGATATAATGGTTTTTGATGTAATTAATATAAATCTAAAAATGCTCAATGTTTTTTTCCCAGTCGGTCAGATATTCCTGATTGGAGTTCTCGGATAAATCATGCGCCAGTATCAGATTTTGATAATGGCAGCTTGGTAGATGATTTCCAGCAGCCATCGAGCCTAACTTGGATGTAAGATTTTTATCCTCTTGTCAGTGTCAAAAATGTTTTGGTCTCTCCTTCCCTCCCTCCCTCTTTGCTGTTGGTACAGAAAATGTCAATGAGATGTCACATGCATTATTGTTGATAGTAATTTGAACCATGTATATATATCTTCCTCTTTCCTTTTTATGCGGTTAATACTCTGTCGTCTCACAGACTTTTGAAACTTGCGTCCTTGTACTTTTGCTCATGTTTTTGAAGACGCTCTTCTTCTTCTGCGGACTATAATTCGGTGAGGTCGAGGAGCAGTCCCAATCGGTTGGTCCATCAAGAACAAACTCCAACCTCTTCATTCCCTTATGCACATGAAGCAGTTGAAATTCAGGAAGCTACAAAAAGAAGGTAGACAGCAAGATCACTTAACATGTTTTGTAAGCTTTTATGTTCTTTCTGTTCCCCTTTCCTACGTGTACTAATGAATGGCAGGTGAAGTCACAATACTAAGACACTTTATCGTTAGCAAATTGGTGTATGAGCGCATTGTCGTATTTACCATTAAAGTAAATGATTTCATGAAAAGTTTCTATTAAGCCATGCTTATTCTTGTAGCTCTATCTTTAGTGCTCTTGCAACAAATCTGCTTTTCTCTATCTGGCTAGTTGTGCCTTAAATTAGCTCTTATTTATTCATGCTGATTGTATGATAGGATTTCGACATCTCCTGCGTCAGGCACAAAGTCATTTATGCTTTCAAGAAGCCCAGATTCCCAATTTCCTGGGCAGCCCTCTGTAAATCATTTCAATAGTGCGGGAAAGGCAAGCAGTTCACCTGCAGCAAAAAGGACAAGATCTCCACCTTCATATCCAGTGGAAGATGATATCCAGGGAAACTCTTTCCCTTCTCGAGATTCTACTGAAGGGTAAATCAAACCACAGAGTACTGACTCTTTTTATAAAAAAAAAGATGTGGACTAGTTCTTAAGTTTTCTGACACTCTGTGCGTTTATTACAGAGAAGAGCAAGCCAGGGCAAAGAGACTGGCCCGCTTCAAGGGTGAACTGGACCCTGTTCCAGCTCGACCTGTTGATAGTCAACTTACTAAATCATCTGTAAATAAAACTGTGAAACCCCTGGACAACAAACAAACATTAAATCCAGTGGAATCAAGTAGGGATGGCCTTAAGGGAGATGCCTTGTCTGATTATGAAAACTCGGAGCAAGAGCAACCCTCTCTTATCGTTGGATTATGCCCTGACATGTGTCCTGGTAAGCACAGCCTGAGATATGCTTATAAAACGACACTGAGTGTATAGTCGTTTGATTTATTTTATCTGATTATAAAAGAATTGTGTTTCTAACAAGATTGATCTTGCCCTTATTGATGTCTAGTTCTAGTGAGTTATGTGATTGTCGAACAAATATATTGAGGTCTTTTTTATTCATCTTCCCAGAGTCAGAACGGGGGGAGCGTGAAAGGAAGGGTGACTTGGACCATTATGAGCGTGTGGATGGAGATAGGAACCAGACGAACAAATCCCTTGCCGTGAAGAAAGTAAGTTAACCTTTTTCATATCAATTAATTGTCAGATTCTTTCTTAAGATGACTTATGCTAGAGTACTTCTTCACTCTGATGACTTCTTATATATTTGCCTTTTGAATAGTATACCAGGACGGCGGAGCGAGAAGCAGTTTTGATACGACCAATGCCGATCCTACAGAATACAATGGAATATTTGCTGAGTTTGCTAGACCAACCGTACAATGAAAACTTTCTTGGTATGTACAATTTCTTATGGGATAGGATGAGAGCTATTCGAATGGATCTAAGAATGCAACATATTTTCAACCGGGAAGCTATTACTTTGCTGGAGCAAATGGTTTGTATTTTCTGATCTTATACAAATCCCATTAAACACGATAACAACCGGTATTCTGCTTTGGATTTCTTACTATTAATTTCCTTGTTATAGATAAGGCTTCACATCATTGCAATGCATGAGCTATGTGAATATACTAAAGGAGAGGGATTTTCAGAGGGGTTTGATGCACACCTGAATATTGAGCAGATGAACAAGACATCTGTTGAGTTGTTTCAAATGTATGATGATCATAGGAAGAGAGGAATAACTGTTCCTACGGAAAAAGAGTTCCGTGGCTATTATGCTCTTCTCAAACTCGACAAGCACCCTGGCTATAAGGTAAATATTTTTGGGTGAAATTTCCGGTCAGAATTTTGTGCTAACCTGACTATAAATTCTTTCTGTTAGGTTGAGCCTTCTGAGCTTTCTCTTGATCTTGCCAACATGACTCCAGAAATAAGGCAAACGTCAGAAGTTCTCTTTGCCCGTAATGTAGCCAGGTAGTTCCTTGAACTTGTTTTTGGGCGTTTTGTTAAGGTGGTCCAAGTATTAATACTAGTTGTGCAATTTCAGAGCTTGTAGAACTGGCAACTTCATCGCCTTCTTTCGTCTCGCACGAAAAGCAAGCTATCTTCAAGCTTGTCTAATGCATGCTCATTTTTCGAAGGTAAGCTTATTTGTGGTGTAGTTTTATCATTCTTACCATATTGGTGAGTGGTTAATTCACTGAGATCTAAGCTTTATTATGTTTCATCAGCTAAGAACTCAGGCACTTGCTTCTCTGCACTCGGGTCTCCTAAATAATCAGGGTATCCCAGTTTCAGATACGTCAAATTGGATAGGGATGGAGGTAATTTTCCATCGACTTGCTACTTGGTGTATCCGTTTCGTGGTCTGTGACAGAGTAATTGCTAGAGGTCTTACATTTTTCTTCTGGTGATGGAATTTAGGAAGAAGACATAGAAGCCCTGTTGGAGTACCATGGATTTTCAATAAAAGAGTTTGAAGAGCCATACATGGTAAAGGATGGCCTATTTCTCCACGCTGATACGGACTTTAAAACAAAATGCTCAAAACTTGTTCACATGAAAAAGTCAAGAACCATTGTGGAAGATGTTTCTGCTCCCTCGACAGAGGAAAATGTTTCTTCTCCCTCTCCGTTGTCATCAGTTCCGACAGAAGCAAATAAAAGACATCAACCGCTTATTACCACCTATAAACAGGAAAGGCCGCCTGCTCAAAGTCCTAAGAAACAAACACCAGTGCGTCCAGTTGATAAAGAAATGACCGACTCAAAGACTTCCCTCTTACTGGAGAAGGACAAGCCAGTGATAACATCTGTTATAAATCCAGTGTGGCCACCTGTTGTAAATCCAGCGGTGGATCAACAGAAACAAAATGCCCTTACGCCGGCTGGTGGATTTCACTCTCCCCTGAAGTTCAATTCTCCTTTTAGTTCTCCTGGATTTCTTCAAGCTGAATCCTCGAATTTGAAGAAACAGCCTGATGACGGCCACACTAGTATATCTCCTCCGGAAATTAAATTTCCATTTCCATTTCAGAGTGAATCCTCCGGGCATATGCAGACGAATCTTGTGCCTGGACCTACTTTGCAACAAAGTCCGAAGTTTATACCTATGGAGAGTGTGCCTGTAACTACCATTTCAGAGTCTCCGACGAGTGTCGAAAACATATTTTCTATAGAAGAATCAGTACCTGAAGCTGCGATGACCAATACCTTGGAAGAGAGCTTCCATGACATTGAACAAGAAGATGAGGATGGAAATGAGGACATCACAAATCAGTATGACGAGGAAGTGGCGAAGGCAAAACTCAAGTTAATCATAAGGTATACCATCTCATGCAAATGAATAATTTGTGTGGGTTACTTTATCTTTTCTAAATATCAACAGATTATGGAAGCGATGGGCTTCACGTCAAAGTCAATTGCGAGAGCGTCGACAGTTAGCTGCAGCTGCTGCATTGAATTCTCTATCCCTGGGCACTCCTATCCGATTCAGCAAACCTGATGTAAGTTTCAGTTTTCTCCACATAGCATGTGCTGATCATTGGTCTTTTTGTCAAGGAAGCAATAAAAGTCTTAATGCATTTTCCCTCAGAGTTTGGTAGTTAATTTCTGTTCTCGCTTTATTCATAGCAATTGAGAGCCTGTGGTGAGTTTGACATTGATCAAGCGATGAAGAGGAGATTTGAAGAACGTGAAAAGTCATGGTCAAGGCTGAATATTTCAGATGTGATAGCTGATATACTACTCGAAAGGAATCCAGACTCGAAATGCACAAGCTGGAAGGTCATCTTATGTACTCAGGCTAAATCAGTTAACACAGCAAGTCAGGATACACATTCAACAGCCAGTCGTTGGTTATTGTCAAAGCTTATCCCTCACACAAAACATAGTATCTCCGATGATAATTTGCTGTTTTCAGCTCCCGGTGTGTCGGTATGGAACAAATGGGTTGCAAGTGGGTATGATTCAGATTTGAGATGCTGTCTCTCAGTAGCTAGGGACGTGGAAGCTGATAAAAGTCTAGGTGAAACAACACGTGGTGCAAGTGCAGTTCTTTTCCTTGCATCTAAAGACCTCCCTCTGAATCTCCAGAGAGAACAGCTTAACCGCATTCTTGAATCATTACCTAGCGGTTCACTCCTTCCCCTTCTCGTAGTAATCAGCTCATGCAACGGTGAAAGCGGGGATCCTGATACCAATCTCGTCTCTGAGCTAGGCCTCCATGATATTGACAAATCAAAGATAGCAAGCTTCACCATAGTCTCTATTGCTAATAACTCCCAGAAGGGACAGGAACTTCATTTTTTCAGCGACTCACGGCTAAGGGACGGGCTTAAATGGCTTGCGAGCAATTCACCTCTTCAACCAAACCTTCATCATGTTAAACCGCGAGAACTTGTTCTGACACATTTCAGTTTTTCACTGGAGTTGCTTAAGAAGATGCCAGATCATGAAGTTGGTCCTAACATCTGCATATCAACCTTCAACGACGCATTGGAAACGTCAAAAAGAAACATCACTTCTGCTGCTGAAGCAAATCCAATCGGTTGGCCTGGCTTTGAAACAATGTTGCTGGATGATAATAGAAAAGAACATTTAATGGTAAAGCAGTATCTACCTAACCTAGAATGGAGCAGTGCAGAGAGCATCGAACCACTTATCTCCGTACTCGAGAGCTGTAAGCTTCCATGTTTTGAAGATGATTTGACATGGTTAACCTTAGGATGTGCTTCTGGTGCTGAGATAGAGAACCATACGCAACGTCTCGAGGAATGCTTGGTTAAGTACTTGACAAAGACGAGTAATCTTATGGAACTCTCATCAGCGACCAAAGAAGCAGGAGTTATGGTACAAAGAAACACTAGACTTGAACTCCATAACTCAAGCTACTACCATATCATCCCAAGATGGATCGGAATCTTCCAGAGGATCTTTAACTGGCGGATAATGGGTTTGCTAGATTCATCGTCTTCCTCAGCTTACGTTCTGAAGTCCGACCTCACCTTGTCAGCTTCTAGCTATGCTGATAAGTTCTTGTCTGAAGATGTGTCATACCAATCTTCTCGTCCAAATCTTCCATTGCTTCATGAAATGATCCAAATCAGCTGCAGCCCCTTCAAGGCGTCGCCTCCATGTAATCACGAATCCCAGATTCAGACAGAGAGGCTTATCGACGATCATAGAGATGTAGATGAGGCGATGTTGGAGAAGAGTAGAGAAGCGTCTAGAAGAATTGATATGATGATAACTGAGGATGATGAGTTAGCTGATGAAACTGAGAGATCGTTGAGGGACAAAGAAAGAGAAGCTGCGGAGAAGAAGACGATGAAGGACAGAGAGACTGAGAGATTAGATGAATTGTTGGAGAAATGTAACTTGGTACAGAATAGCATAGCCGAGAAGCTCTGCATTTACTTTTGAAGTTTCTTCAGCCCTTTCTTTGTTAATGTTAATGTTGTTGCATCAACTTCGATCTCAAAAAAAAATGTTGTTGCATCAACTTCGATCTCAAAAAAAAAATGTTGTTGCATCAACATGTTGCATGTTTCCATGCCAGTTTAGTCGAGTTAGAGGGTAAAGATGCTGCTATTATGATTAATGATTTAATAGCATGCTTACACTATTTACTTGAGGAACACCTACAGCAAAGACCAAGGTTCCAACTAAAAACCCACTAAAAATAAAATTAACTTTTGGAAGGAAAAGATTTTACTTTTCCAGAAAACAATTAAAACAACGTTGGCTTGCCTTTTCATTTTATTTTTAATTTCAATTTTAGAAAGACCCAAACATAAGAATGTTTGTCAACTGCCATATACTGTATCACAACTGGAAAACAAGCTCGCTAATTTTATGCTAGATATTTTCAAAAAGTTTTGTGACTTTGTGCTATAAAATACAAAATAGGCTGACTTTTGTGCTATAAAAATTAAGAAATTTGGCTGACTTTTGTGCTACAAAAGTTCAAAAAAGTTGCCGGCCATCAAACTTTGATCTACCATTCACTTAGTTAAAGATATAATAATATAATACAAAACGAAAGCTAAACTCATTTCAACTTTTCATGTTCAGTGGGAAAGAGCTTTATCATCATCAATCAAATACTAAACAGAAAGCAGATCTTGTAGAATCTAAGGAAAGCTTCAACATTACATCGTTTGCATCTATAGCTTCATCTCTGCACCAAAGCAACTCTTTGGAGAAAATGTTGCATTAAACATGTCTTTTAACTCTGTATAAGAATCTCTTTTCAACACACTTTTACTTTTTGCTATATATGATGAATCTCTTGACATAGAAACACAAAAAGAAACAACACAAAGAGGCAAAGAGGAATGTGAACCATGCCATCATCATCATCATTCATTACACAAGTTTTTTATCTGTACAATGATAATTGTGATATCATCTGTCCTATTCTCATGCTGCAACCACAGTTTGTATGACTCCGCTGCAGCTGCTGCACATCCATCTCTCGGATCAGCATATCTCCCCACCTGCAAACACACACACACAACACATTCCTCAAAATCACATTCTATAGATAAAAAATCTTCAATAAAAAATTGTGTTAACTTCTTAAAATTACCATATCAACAACAGCTTGGCTCGGAAGAAACTCAAAGATCCCATCACTCGCAACAACAAAGAACAAATGATTCGGCGAAAGCTTAACCATAGACACTTCAGGCTCCGCAGTAACACCAATCCCTTCAGCTAAACTATCACCAACACTTCTAGTAAAAGCCGTCCCCGGATACATCCCGTTCTGCACCCAAAGCCTAGGCGGGTCACCACCTTCATTCTCTTCACTAGCCCAAGTCTGCACACTCGGATCCTTCAACCCTTCAACCTGATCAACACTCAACACTCTCGCTCCACACCCTTTCACCCTCTCACACTCATCTCTCCTAAACGGCGTCTGATCATAAGACAAATCCTCCGCAACAACCCTGTTCCTATGACCACCACTCCCATCTCTAACAGCCAACACAGCCCTCGAATCCCCAACATTCGCAACGTAAATCTTATCCCCAACTACAAGAACCGTAATCGCAGTAGTCCCACTCATCGAATCATCAATCTCACTGCTATGCAACTCTTCATTCACTTTCAAGAAAACAGACTTGTAAGCCTTCTCCGGGTCCTCAAGGAGAGTAACGTCTTCAGACAAAAGCTCAACGACTCTGTCTTTAACGAAGTTCGAGCATTGAGTACCGAAGACGCCGTGGCCGTCGAAGACACCGAAGAGGTGGACGTTAGGGTTGTTCTGGAGCTCGGTTTTGACGCAGTAAGTGTCTTGATTCTCTTTGTCTGGTGAGTCAGGGTAGTAGCCTCGTTGAGAGAGGACGGAGTAGACCAATTCGAAGTTGGGAGATGGGATTTGGATTGTTGTTGGGCCGAGAGGCTTTTGGAGGACGACGGAGGTGGAGGAGGAGGAGGAGTCTTTGTTGCCTTTGGCGTGTCCACGGGAGGAGGCGGGTTCTGAGGATGAAGATGGGTAGCGGCTACAACATTTGCATTGAACACAACCCATCTAGAAGGAAAAAAAGGAGGTTAGGGAGATGGAAAAAGGAAGCTAGAAGGAGCGGTTTTGAGGTAAAGTTTTGAGCTTTGCGGGTGTCATGTTTGTACAAAAGGTAAAAGACGGAATCTTTATGAAGAATGATTCGGACAAGAACAAAAAAAGTTTAAAACTTTGTTTTCTGGGTTTGTCTCTTTTCTTTGTTGGGTTCGTGTTTGCCTCAAAGGTTTCTTGTTTGAGGAGGAAAGGGTCAAGATTTGAGAAACCCTAGAAAGCGTTTGAAAGAAAAGAATCGAAAATGAGAGAGAGAGAGAGAGAGAGATGAGTTTTGGGATGATACGAAGGTGTGGGTTTGGCCTCTCTCTGCACAGCGGCGCACGAATTCACAGAAAAACAAACAAATATTTTTTTTTGAGAAAAGCGATTGAATCTTTTTTTTTTATTTTTTCCCGAGAAAGAAAAATCAATGCTTTTTCTTGTTTCGGTTCGGGTTTCTCAACGGTTTTACCCGACCCGGTGAGTTTTCGGGAAAATATTGTTTCGGTTAGCTAAGGGCCCAATGGGCTAAATGTAATTATTGGCATCTTGCCTGTAAATTTTACTTCTTATCTTGTTTTCTTCAGGTGTTCAAAAAAAAAATCTTGTTTGTTCTAATTATATACATGGTTGTTTCACATTTCATTTCGGATAGAGTTTCTCTATCTTGTAAGGTTCGTTAGTCGGTAAAAAATATTTTTGTCAAAACAAAATTTGGAATGAAAATTATTTGGTTAAAGAGGTAAACGGATTAAATAACCAACTATTCATTTTTTAAAAAGAATTTATGATAAATTTGGCAAAATGTTTAATTGTGGAGGCCGTTGAAAGTTTAGTTGAGAGTGTGAGATATGTTTTTTAGTCATGGTTTGATTTATATGAAAGTTGATTTACATTTACATTAACAGTATATAGTCCATTATTACTAAAAGAAGCAAGTTTGTCTTTAGTCAGACATGCATGCGCGGAATTCTTGGACTGCTCTGCACACATATGCAAAGGACACAACAGATACTGGAGTAGTACACATTTTGCTTCTCGAATGTGAACTGAAAATCACACACCTTCTTAACTAGTTGAGAGATGGTATGATGTTATCACAATATGGGGTAACCAAACTAAAGAGATGTTGATGGAAAAACAACTTAAGAGATGTAAAACATTTAGTTCTATTTTGAGATACATAAGAATATTTTATCTCCTTCTCAAACTACATGAAAACCATATGCTACAATTTAGAAGAAAGTTGTTATAATTCTAATCTTAGAACCGCATGCAGATGCAATCAACTAAAAAGAAAACGACAGCAAATCATCATATTAATCAGCACAAACTCATCCTAAAAATAAGCAAAACTTTTACCACCAAAAAAACTTACACCAGTTTATAAGAATCTAAGGAAAGAAAGAAACAAAATCTAAAAAACTCTCACCTGTTTCATTGGACAAAAAAATTGTCTTCTTCCTAAATCATAGGAAGTGGATTTTTAAAGACAAAGATTGCGTGTGAAACACTCCTAACTTCAATCTCTTCCTCACATTTCAACTGCTAATAAAACAATCCTCTTCACAAACCTTTATTCTAGCCCCAACCCTAGGAATGGCTCTTTTAACTATTCATCTTCTTTTTTTTTTAATTTGTAATTAAACCCTTTTCCTTAAACCAAAAATAATAAAATAATTAAAGAGTTTACCTGAGAATTAGGTTCAGGATGGCCTCAAGGAGCCTCTCCTACACACAACTCCTAGGCCTCCTGTCCTTTACCCTCCTAACCTCCACAATGTCGGTTCGTGTTGGTTTCATTCTCCACAAGCCTTCTGCTCCAACCCTTCCTGTATTCAGAGAAGCCCCAGCTTTCAGAAACGGTGATCAATGCGTTGAGGCTGATCAAATTCATATAGCCATGACTCTTGACACAAACTACCTCCGTGGAACAATGGCTGCTGTTTTTTCTATCCTACAACATTCAACTTGCCCTGAAAACCTCTCTTTTCATTTCCTCTCCCTTGCTCACTTCGAAAACGACCTCTTCTCCAGCATCAAATCAACTTTTCCTTACCTAAACTTCAAGATTTATAAGTTTGATCCAAACCTAGTCCGCAGCATAATCTCTAAATCCATCAGGGAAGCCCTTGACCAGCCTCTAAACTATGCGAGGATATACCTGGCGGATATTGTTCCTCCCAGTGTTGACCGGATCATATACCTAGACTCTGACCTCGTCGTAGTAGACAACATAGAGAAGCTATGGCATGTGGACATGGAAGGTAAAGTCGTGGCTGCTCCTGAGTACTGCCATGCAAACTTCACACTCTATTTCACAAAAGCGTTCTGGTCAGACCCGGTACTAGTTAAGGTCCTTGAAGGAAAACGACCGTGCTACTTCAACACGGGTGTTATGGTCGTGGACGTTAATAAATGGAGGAAAGGGTCGTATACAAAAAAGGTAGAAGAGTGGATGACGATTCAGAAGCAGAAGAGGATATACCATTTGGGTTCATTACCTCCTTTTTTGCTTATATTCGCCGGTGATATAAAAGCGGTTAACCATAGGTGGAACCAGCATGGTTTAGGAGGAGATAACTTTGAAGGGAAATGTAGAACATTGCATCCTGGTCCGATAAGTCTTCTTCATTGGAGTGGGAAAGGGAAGCCATGGTTGAGATTAGATTCAAGAAAGCCTTGTATTGTTGATCATCTTTGGGCTCCATATGATTTGTACCGTTCATCAAAACATTCATTAGATGAGTAGAGCTGTAGAGGCAAAAGAAGCAAGAAGGTTGACACATATGTGTAATAGGAGATGGAGACGGTTCAAGCAGGGTGGGTGCGAGCAAAGAGAGCGAGATGCAAAACAAAGCCAAAACAAGCTGTAGCGAAAAGAGAGAAACCAAGAGAGAGAGCTAATTTTTTTTAAGACACACTCTTAAAGTCTTAATGCAAAAAGACACGTTGTGCATGAGATAAGTAGTGAGATGACAAAAAAAAAACCAAAAATTAGTGAGATGGCATCATCATCATGATTTGTTTATCTTATTCTAAGTGTTTTTTTTTAATTTCTCGTTCTCTTGGATTTAACGTGTAATATACATAGGGTAGTGTTACTGCAAATTGGAGGATTTAATTCATTCTTTATTAATTCAAATTTTATAGTATTTCATTCTACTAGAAATTAATCCATTCTTTTTTTTTGCAAACTAATGCAAAACAATTGTTGCTCTTTAATGTAATATGTAAACCTTCTGGTTCCCCTAGCAAGTTTTTGATAGAAGTCTTCGTTTCTTACACTAATTGTTTAAAATCTCTTTCAAAACTGTAAATTATAGTAGAACCTCTATAAATTAATAATCGACAAATTATTATACACTAAAAATCTCTATAAATTATATATAATTTTATAGTCCAAAATTAAATTTTTGGTTCATTTAATATATCGATAAATTAATAATTTCTATAAATTAATAAAAAATTATAGTTTTGGTGTAATCCCAACATTAATAATTTATAGAGGATTTTATAAAAAAAATGATCTTAACTAATGATTCGATAACTAAACTAAATCACGAAAGGCAGAGTATACTAAGCGTCCTTTAGAAAGTTTGAAGATACTGGTAAATGGGTTCTTGATCAGATTCAAAAAGAGCATATAACCATGAGCTTGGTGGTCATATTGAGGAGACTACTACTACTTAAAATACATTGGTTTAAAGAGGAGTCATCAGCAGATTTATAGTGAAGAAATGTGGGAATGAGAGTGAGAAGCATGCAGTGACTTTCAGTGCGAGTTGTAGTTGTCAGATGTTTGAGTATGAAGGACTTCTCTGCAGACATGTATTGAAAATGTTCAACCTCTTGAAGATTAGAGAACTCCCATCTTGGTATATACTTCACCGCTGGACCAAGAACGCAGAATACTCGACCCCTGGACCAAGAACGCAGAGTTTGAGTTTGTGAGGATCTAGATTCAGGTGTGACTTATCAAGATCTTAAGCATTTGATGATATGGAGCTTGAGGGAAGCAGCTTCAAAGTATATAGAGTTTGGAACATCATCTCAGGAAAGTATAAGCTTGCGTATGAGATTATGCGTGGAGTAGCCTGTTACGGTATTATTGTCCTATGCGTTTAAGATGAAGCCTTTTTCTTGGCCGCAACCAATGTAAATCCTAACTCTTTTGAGGTGGTTGTAGAGGTGTTAGATGATGATGCATCGGCGGGTTTAAACAACAGTTTGTCTCTTCTCTTGTTAAATTGTTTATGTTGTTTCCATAAGTTAGAGTTTCTCAAAGATTCAGACAGTTTGGAAGGATATATTATCTCATTAAAGTTATTTGTATTCTCACTAATCATATTAGTTATAGGGAATAATGTTTGAATGCACAAAAATTGCTTTAGTTTTTGCATACGGGGTTTTCAACAATATAACATAAATCAATACGTAAAGACGAACTAGAGAAGTAACATGTTATTTACATCATAACAATTTGGATCTCATCAACATGACCAATTTGGAATCTCATCAAGTTTAACCAGTCTAATAATTTCGAACGTTCAAAAACATAGTTCTTTAACTGCTGAGGAAATATGGAACCTGATAGCTGTAACAAAATATTTATACACAATTCAATTAGTAAGTTTATATTAAGAAAACTTACCAGCATGATGTTGTGCTGTTTAATTTTCAACACCAGATCGTTGCACATACAAGCACAACGATCACAATGAATGTGAGGGTAACCCTAACATCAATAATTATGGCTCGTCGATGAGAAGGGTGACGTTTGCTTTCATGTATAGGTGTCGAGCCTTTTTTTACCAGAAGTTTTCCTTCCAGATTCATGCAATACGATAACGAGACTTTGATTGTTAGGGATTGACCCATTGAAAGAATGCTCAAAGAACAAGCGAAAAACTTACAAAATCCTCAAATAAGTCAAAACTCTTAAGCTTTCGGGGATCGAACCATTGAAAGAATTATAAGAAAGGTTTCTACCAACAAAGAAACATGAGTTCCATATGTAGAAGTTCGGATCAAACCACAATGTATTTTTTAAATAACTAAACCATTAACTTACAATATTTCAAGGCTCTCAATGTTTCTAAGTGATGCAGGAATCAACAATGATGGATAGCATGTAAAGAAGGAAAATGTTCTCTTTTATATACAGCTAATCCAGTAACTTAAATTCTCTTTAGATGGTTCAAGCTTGATATACTTATTTTAGAGAATCTTTAAGACCTTGGTTGTGTTACTTGTGTAGATCATTGAAAAAAGGTTTGAATACAACAAAGAGAAGAAACTTAATGTTCCTATGCAAAAAAAAATAGAGGTATGGCATCATACAATCCATCAATGAACCAACTGCTTCCGTTTTTTTTTTGCTCAATTGACAATGAACGCCAATCCAAGGATGTTGTGGCATAGCATATGGAACGCCATTCCATGTTACGTGAGAATGAATTCTAGAGCTTTCTTTAGTGCTTGTAACACATTGGCTAAAACATACGAACAAAGATTACGATGCAAACTAAATGACAAGAAACCATAACTAAAAGATAAAATTGAGAGTGTACCTTCAGCTTTCGAACACCTCAATCACATAGATAAGAGCAATGCCTTGTTTTGGATTTATAACGGTTTTTAAAGTGCTTTCAATCTAAGTTATTGTTGTATTGAGAACAAGTGTTGCATATCTTCCACCAGCCATCTTGATGATGTCTACACTTTCAAAGACTATTACACCTTCAAGCAGTTGTTGGTGTTTTTATTTGACCTAAAAGTCATCAATAAATAAAAACCCAATGGAACCATTTCAAGAACACACAAATACGACAACCCACAAATATATATTATGTATATAAATAGCATTCTTTATCAATTGCTTTCCTTGAACATACATAGTAAATTTTTTTATTGAAATGCCTATTACATTCATTAGGTAGGTATCCGTTGCATGTCAAAGTTTTTGTGAATCAAAGAAAACTTTACAAGGTAAACAAATTATAGAAATCAAGTACAATAGTTGCACATACAAAATTCAAGTACACACGTATCTCATATAACAAAGTAACACTCAACCTTATAAAAAATCATATGGCTTTTTAATCTCCATTGCAAATTTCAATAATTTAAAATGTGATAAACATAAAGTAATACTTTTTAGTTACTAAAGAAATATGAAACCTCAATGGCTGAAATAGAGTATATATTCAGTGAGTATGTTTGTATAAGACACTACAACATAAAAATAATGTACCTACTACTAAATTCAGAAAACTTACTACTAAAGATGAAAATTTGTAAAACTATGCTTAAACAATATGCAAGACAAGTAAATACTATTATGATCTCATATATAAGTTTAGTGTTACATGAGATGAGAATATAAGTGGTAAGTTATGTTTAATTGAGCTATGAAGCTAATATAAAACTAGGACAAGAGTCACATATTTGATCCCTCCGTTAGTTCCATTTATTACTTGTTCAATTTCTTAATTACTTTATTATTTTGTAACAATACGCCACCGTTAGTTCTTTGACTTCGATTGCCCTTCTATGATTCCTCAGTTTCTCAATAATTAGATTTGCTAAACATAGTTCTTTGGCACCATCTCTTTTTTTTCCTTTTACATTTTTTTTCTATGCAAGATATAAAATTTCAAACAAAAAAAAATTCAAAAATTTTAATTTGTTATAAATACCATAAAGTATATGTTGCAACTTATACATTAAAGAAAAAAGTATCCACGCAATGGGTGAAACAGTTAATTTCTGGTTGTATTTCACTATAAGGAACGATTGCAATAGATGATAATTCTCTTTGTCAAAAAACGATAGATGATAATATAGTATGAAGAAGGAAAAAAAGGAAAAAAGGAAAAAAACATAAGAAATGTAGCCTTTGTAGAAATATAGTTTCGCCTCTGAATTTTGAAACACCAGAGAACGTCAATGAATTTAAACTCAAATTTATGGAATATGATGGTTAGCTCGTCCTTATATCCTTCAATAAACACGTCTCAGTTTATCGCTTTGACGTGCATCTTTTGGTTGGGTACGTCAATTGCAATGTTGTTTCACTGAAATGCGGAAATCCCGATTAACTTTGCTCCGACAACTAATTCATTCACGTTTAGACAGCATATCTACATCTAACTAGACGAACAGCTTCTTCGTAGACAAAAAATCTATTGTTACATTTCTAAATCTAACGCCAAGTTCTACATCCACGTGTTATCCCAATAAAGTTGATGATATAGATAAAAAGCAAGTTTTCCCCATCTTTAAAATTTCTTGTTGATCTCTCTTAAGACAACACGGATTGCTCTTGAAACAAAACTAATTTCTCAAGTAGTCAAGTCCAGGCGTTCAATATTGTAATGGACTTGGACAAAACATTTTGTAAACCTATATTTTCTCCACTTATGGTTATTGACGTCATTTGATTTTATAATGTTGACCCATTGTAATTGTATTCATTGGTACTTGCTTTTTAGTAAAGAATATGTATCCTCTCATAAAGTTAAAAATGATTTCCTTTGTTAATTACATTAAAGTTCCCTATGGAAATCGAAAGCTTTTCACCAAAAATAGCTAAGTATGTACAAATCACCTACACCTAATCCTAGGCTGCATGTCCCCGCTTAGACCTCGACCTTGTTTCTTATCCAACGCCAAATATATGTTTCTTATGGTGCCGAATACCCCACACCCGTAATAAATGTAAATGTTTCTTGACTAAGGGTAAATTTTTTGGTCAGAAACATTTTACATATAACACATGGTATAGAGGATTCTGGCACGGTAGAAAACGTATATTTTGGAGTTGGAGAAAAGACCAAAGGTGGTGTTCAACTGGGGAAGGGCAGCCTAGGTTTAGGTATGGGTGAGTTGTCCCTATTTTGGAGAAATTTTTTTCCATTTGCATAAGAAACTTTAATGAAATTAACTGGGGGAAGCATGTTTAGCTTTAAAAGAGGAAAGCATGTAGCAATAAGTAAAAAGTATGGAGGAATAAAATGTGATGCTGCTTTTAAAGGTGTTTGGCAAGGGATATGGAGGTACGGGTATGAGCAATATATATGGTGTTTTATGATATATTACGAGAAATATTTTCATGAGTGCTGCTAAGAGAATATTTCATGAGTGTTAAGTGAAATGTTGTTGAACACTGCTGCTTGTAATGTTGTTAAACAACACTTCCTGCATGTTATTGAACAACGTTTTTCAAATGTTAAACAAAACTTCTTAAAATATTTTGCTTTTTTTTTTTCTTGATCAGCTCTTAAAATATTTTGCTAATTCTCAAGTTCAAGCAAATTCGCGTATGACAATTTTATCACAAAGAAGTATTAAAATCATTGATGAGTTACGAAACATGAGATAACGTGATCAAACACTGTTAAAGTTTGTATGGAACTGATACACCCTATTTAACATTTTATTTTATTTGCTTGTTTAGATCGATAAAGTTCGGTTTAGGCTCTGTAGTATTCCCAAGTCCGGAACAAACATTAATAGAAATTGTTCCCAAGTCCGGAAGAACATTTTATTTTATTTTATTCTATTTGCTTGTTTCCTGCACGCCAGCCACTATCCAACATAATTTTAACTTCTAACTGAAAGAATTAAGGGATTATTTACTAAGAAATGCGGATTTAGTACAGGACGAAGCGTACGTGAAGAGGAAAACATTGTATGTTATGTTTTGAAATTATCATAGTTGATAATTAAGAAAACTGAGATTTTATTACAAACTTAAGAAAACACATTACATGTAAAAAAACACTGAGCTTTTATTGCAATTCAACTAGTTTAGATAGTCGCATGAGATTTTATCAAAATAAATTGTTTCATCTTCAAGATCAAACCCGATGTTATAATTCTGAAGTGCCGTTGTCCCAATGATGTTAATATCAATACCTTCTGGGCTCATCACCACAGCTAAGCAGAAATATTCATCTCCAGATTGGTGGAATAGGCTGGTTGGATCTAACATTAAAGAAGCCCCTTTGTAGAAGGTCAATGTGACGGTAGGCAATGAAGGCAGCTCGCGTTGAATGGTCCCATTGTAACATGCCAATTGACCATCGGTAAACGTGTTTAGATGCCCGTCAAGTTTGCTCTCAATATGACTCTTGAGCTCGAAGTAGGATTGTCCAGCCAAGTTCAGCATACTAGTCCCTGTGTCGATGATTGTGTTTCCTTTGATGGGTGCCAAAAAATTTGGAATATCTTTTCCGTTGATACTGATGGTCTCCAGGTCAACATGATAATGATCATACATCATAAATAACGCCGTTGATTGTCCCGTGGTCCTTGCTGCATCTCCAAATGCTAGAAAGCTGTGACCGGAGTTCGGTTCACTTCTTAATGTCTCAAAGCATAGGGAAAACTTGTTGCCAAGTTTTTTTAGAATTGAGAACTTTCCGTATGCTAACCCAAGTAGACCACTTCCAACACTGAAGCCATTGATGATGTCATGCGCACATCCAAAGTCAACATCTGGCAGTGAATTAACCCCGCCGTCCTCCGTCTCAAACCGCATCGTTTCTTTGGCTAAAGTACCTCTGCTTTCTGAGCCGTCCAAATACATCTGGCGATAATGACATTCCCCGGTTCTTATAACGGGGTATAAGGCGGGAGATGACGCAAACGAAGAATTGCCACAGCTCACACTCTTGTACGTTGATGAAGCCTTTGGATCATACCCCGGAACTTGAGATTGACATGTGTTGCATGCTCCACATTTGATCCAGGTGAGACTACTGCCACTATCCACATAAAGCAATTGTGGAAATGGCGGCTGGCCGATTGATACTTCTGCTAGGAAAACAGGTGGATTGTTGTGGTTAGGTGTGAGGTGCGAAATTGTTTCTTGATTCTTTCCAGCGAGTAAAGCTTCTTGCCGAACAAGTCTTACGACTGGGCCAGTGGGTTTAGCCAATGTGGCAAAAACGAGTTGAACAAGGATGGTGAAGAAAATTTTCATCTTAATTCTAACTCTGAAATGTAGAATGGTGTATGATTAAGTGATAGGCAAGAGATAATAATATTATGATCTCATATATATAAGTTAGTTGAGATGGGAAAGTAAGTGGTAACTGGTGGTTATGTGAGCTGTGAAGTGTGATAAATGTGATGATGGGGAGCGTGGAATAACTAAATGTAGGACGATAAGATGAAAATAGAAATTGTATAACGATAAGATGAGACGGAGAAAACGTTTAAGAAATCGTTAAGGAAATAGACGAATTCGTGGAGTCGAGATTTGATCTTTTTCCTTAACTCAATAAATCGCCCGTATGTGAGACGGTTTAGATACGATTTTTGAATCCCAGGATACAACCACGATTAGACTGTTTCGCTGCACCCGAAAACAGAATCTACGAACTAACTACTACGCTATACTCTCGAGACTTACTTAAAGAGAAGACTCGGGTTTTTAATGGAACTGTTTGTTGTTTGTTTTTCAGTCTGAGAAACAATGAAGAGGTTAGACGTCTATTTATATAGAAATGTTTGCCTAGAATAAAGAATATTCATATAATTATTCTGGTATATTCCTGGAATTATTCCGGCATATTCCTGGAATTATTCCGGCATATTCATGAAATTATTCCGACATATTTCTGGAATTATTCCGGCATATTCCTGAAATTATTCTTTTTTCCTCTTGCAATTCAAATGAAAGATTTTTTAATTAGAGCCCAAAAGACATTTGATCCATATTTCTCTTTACATTACAACATAAATTTACACAGCCCAATAATTTATAAATTTGGGTTCCAACACTAAATAGCTTACATTGTGTGATTTCGTAGTTAATAGTTTTGGTTTAGTATTTATTTTATAAAACTAAAATAAAGAAAATTTGATTTTATACATTAGTGGGTAACTACGTGTTTACGACTGAAGATAGAATTTTTTTTCTTTTTGCTAAATTAAAGATAGAAATTGTTGTTCTTGTTAATCAAATGGATTATGCAACAAGCCATACATCGTTTGTTATTCGACCTAATTATAAACTGTTAACTATATATGTACCTAATCTATACCTATAATTTTATTTATTAGTGACTCAAAGAAGTCATGAGTTATTGCCTCTATTTTCAGATTGGGTCTCTTTGTTCCAGGCTAACTCTTCAAAGGAACAATGTTAATTCACTCACTGCCAGATGATCACGGAACCAAGTTTTGCATTTTTAATCATAATAATATTAAGTCTATTATTGGTTTGTTATCAATACGCCACTATTGAATTACTCTGTAATTTAGATTTTGAAACAACTACATCCAGACACTTATTAAAACATTGATTACACCACACATTATATCCATGTCACACACTTTGCTTCATACAACTGCCATCCAACAAACATTATTTTGACCATACATTTTAACCATGTCACACACATTGTGTCATTCAACTGCCATCCAACTTGGTAAACTAGTTTTTCATGTCTCTGACTAAAATAGAACAACAAATACTTGGTCTCATCCCTTCTACGTTTTCTTCTTCCTTTTGTTTTCTTCAAATGTCTTTTTCTAATTCTTTTTATTTAATTCTTGAATTTCTTTTTAAGCCAACACATAATATATATATATATATATATATATATATATATATATTCAAAATTTTGGTCACAATTTTCAACAACAAGATAAAATTATGCAATCACCAAAATCTGAATCTTATAAAAAAAATGGTTTGTTAATAAATTAGTAATTGATAAATGTATCACATTTTTTATAATCTATACTATTATTTGCGAAGTGATTTTTCGCAACGGAACTCTCACGTTAAAAGTTAGAGCGGTTAATATCTATTTTACCCTTAATGAAATTTTCATATATAACTAATTTTATAATTAAAAACGAAATTTAAAAAATAAAATTACATTAGTATGTTATTATCTTAGATAACTGAGAATAATTAATATAATAAGTTTATTAACATATCAAAAATAAGTTAATTCTTATATATGTTATTATTATTTGAATATGATATTGTAACAACATGATAATGCTTAAATATCTTAATTTTATATATAATTGATTTTTTTTTTGAAAATAATATCATTCTATTATAAAATTTTAAAATTAAAAGATAAAAAACGATTTTAATTAAATATTAATCAAACAAAAACATTTGTATAAAGATAATTTTAATTATATAATTAAATATTAGATATTAAAAATTGGAACAGTTTAAGTTAATGATACTTTTAATGAAATTTATATATTTATATATAAATTAGTTAAAAACGAATTTTATGTTAGTGATAGAAATTTATATGTTATTATATTAGTTAATTTATTATAAACTAATAGGATAATTATCCACATTCATGCATATTTAAAACATAAGATATCTTATAGAATATTATACATTTATCTGGAAATAATCTTTTTATTATGAAAAATAAAAATATAAGTTATAAAACAATTTAAAATGAAATATTAAGAAAAAATATTTTATTATGTGGATATTTTCAACACTATAATAAACATATAGATTTTGATGAAAATTCATATAAAATATTTTAATGTTTGATTTAGGTTTGTTAAACTCTAAAAAATATTTTTTAATATTATTTGAGAATTAATAAAACAAAAAACAATAAATATTCGTAAGAAAATTATGCCTGCATTTGCGGGCACAACACCTAGTTAATAAGTGATAAACATGTATGTAAATAACTGATATTTTGTCATTTCGAGAAATTTTAAACAATTTCTAAAACTTACAGATAAATTTAAATTTCAGCTCTTAGAAAAATAATTTGATTATCCTATCAAATATTTTGAAATACAATTTACATACCTTAAACTACCAGTTTCATTTAATTTCTCAATAACTAGATAAACATAGTGTAGTGTTGTGTTTCAAAAAAGATAAACATAGTGCATTTTTTTTTATAAAAAAAGTGTTTCTTTTCCTTTTACATTGTTGATTCATTGTTTTTTAACTTTACCATAAAGTTTATGTTGCAATTTATACAGGCAAGAGAAAGTATCCACACAATGGAAGAAACAGATAATTTCTGGTTGTAATTCACTTCAAGGAACGATTACTTTTTTGGCTAAGATTCAAGGAACGATTACAATAGATGATAATAAAAAGAAAAAAACATAAGAAATTAATGTAGCCTCCGTAGAAATAAGAACATCAAATTTATGGATTTGGATGGCTTAGCTCGTCCTTATATATCCATCAAAGAGCACGCCACAGTCTATAGCTTTGACATACATCTTTTGGTTGGTACGTTAGTGACAATGTTGTGCCCTGAAATGCGGGATAAACCCCAATTAAGTTTGTCCGACTTGTGATTCGATTACGGGCAGACAGAAGACGTCGGAGTATAGTTGAAAAATAGCTTCTTCGTAGGTAAATTAATAGTTACATCCCCAAAAAGTGTTTCGTTATCGTCCCATCCTGACAATAAAGTTGATCAAACTTATCCAAAGGAGACACACCCGTAACATTCCTTTTTTTTGGACGCAGGAACTTCAGAATTTAGTTTGGTCTCAAGAGCATTTTTTTTGTTGTGTTAAGAGAGATCAGCAAGAAAGGCAAAAATGTATAGGACCTGACCAAAACATTTCTTAAACCTATATTTTCTCCACTGATGGTTATTGACGTCATACGGATTACATAAGGTCCACCGTACATACGGGAACCTGCTTTCCAGTAAGGAATGCATCCTCCCCTAAAGCTATGTGCCTTTCCTGGTTCATTTCGTTAAAGTTCCCTATGCAGATAGAGAACTTCACACCAAAATGGTTAAGGATGGACACCTGACCTAATCCTAATCCTAGACTGCCCTTCCCAACTTGAACCCTGCCCTTGGTTTCTTGACCTATGGTATTTTGAATCGGTATAGGCTCAGAATAAAAAAAATTGGCTCTCAATCCTTGACCGCTTTTGTGTTCAAAAGAGGATGAGGCTGACGGTTTATAAAGATTTTTTTTGGCTTGCTAAGCACTCAGGTTAGCTCTAAACCTATATCAAAATATTCAAAGCGAGGAAACAATCACCCACGTCACTCCTAACCGCTACAATCTACTGGTTATTTCAACCTTTCATTCCGGACCAGAAAAGCTTTGAGTATAGGAAGCAATGAAAGAAAGGTCATAAACATTCAGCTGAAAATAAATCCAAGGCGAGCTCTAGCGATCGTCTTTGGGGTTTTTTTCAGTTCAATGTTTATAACTTTCTCCCATTTCTTCCTGTACTCAAATCTTTTATAGGCTTTGGCCAAGACATGTCTAGAGAATGAAAGGTGGAAAGAAACGGTAGGTTGTAGCGTTAGGAGTGATGTGAGTGATTGTTCCCTCGCTTTGAATCTTTTGAACTTTTTCTGCGAGTAAACATCTCAGCCGAACCACTGTGTCCGTGGGTTTAGCCAATGTGGCATAAACGAGTTGAACAAAGATGATAGAGAATTTTGAATTTTCATTTGAAACTCTGAAATGTAGAATTGTGTATGTTTAAACGATTTGCAAGATGTAAATAATATTATGATCTATATATAAGTTAACTAAGTGAGATGCTAAATTAGGGTTAGGTAAGCAGTGATAAATGTGTGATGGGGGAGAGCATGGAATAAGTACGCAGCTTAAATTGTGTGATTTCGTAGTTATTATTTTTGGTTTTAATATTTATTTTATAGAACTAAAATAAAGAAAATTTAATTTACAATACTTCAGTCATCACAAAAGGTGGGGTTGTGAAGGTTGCAGATGATGAATCCGTGGGTTTAAACAAGAGCGTGTCTTTCTTCTCTTGTTGCTTTATTTATGTTACTTCCATAAATTAGAGTTTTTGAAAGATTCAGACATGATGTCGAAAAGAAAAAAGATTCAGACATTTTTAGAGAGATGTCATGTATTGTATTATCATCATTAAGCTTTTACTGTTCTCACTAATCATGTTACAATGCACAGCTTTGCTTTTTGGATATGGTTTTGTTCATAGATATAACATAGAGAATATACAACTTTCTTCAACTTGTAAATCACAAAGTGTCCCCTCAGGCTCAGTTCACAAACCCATACGAGTTAGGCGATATGAGACTCTCTACGTAAGCATCAGCCTCAAACCCATCACTAAGCTTCACACCACGAATCCCAAGATACCTCGACGCATGACTCGAGAAATTATACAACACCATGTCTCCATCAATCTCCAAAAGAACCTCCTCACCATCCTTACTCGAACCCAACGGCTTCATCGACCTATACAACAAACTAATCCGAATCCTTCTCCAAGAACTCTCAACACCATACTCATCCATCACCCAAACATCATCATGCACCTCGTAGCAACTATAAACCAAACACAACCGCCCATTGAGATCCCCAACAACAAAGTTCCTATAACTATGACCACAATCCTCAGCTTCACCAGGCAACAACATCTCCCGAAACTCCTCCGTTTTAACATCAAACGCTAAAACAACTCTCTCGTTATTATGGTTAGTAAACACCCAGTGAACAGCATCATTAAGAGTCACACCGGAGCTGAAACAATCCTTATGTTCGTAATTCAAATCGCGTAACCGTCTCCACGTGTCAGACTTTAAAGAATAGACGCTAACGTTGAGAACATTGTCACTCTCAGCAACAAGATTCACTACTTTGTAATCATCAGTTACATCATCGAATCCAAATCCGTGAGTTTGAAACTCTTCTCCGGTGATCTTATGAGGTAATCTCTTTGATTCTCCGGTGGTTGGATTATACAAGAACAAAGCTCCTTCACACGGCGAAATACACATTAATCCGTGTGAAGATCCGATGATCTCAACCCAGTTTCTTCGATACGGTTCAGGATTAAGCCTAATCATTACACGATTCTCTCTCACGTAACTATTAATCATCTCATTGAAATTACTCGGATCGTCCTTGAGCGGATAATCAAGCTCCTTAGCTACCAAATCTCTGATCCTGATTCCATCGAAGTCTAATGCGTAGAGATTATGTGATGAGACGATTAGTTTTCGGTGAACGGTGTCGTTTCGGATGGTGAGATTTAATTGGCTCTTTGCGAAGTTTGGATCTGATGATAAGGAGGAGAAGAGCTTTGAGACGCACCTGAATCTACCGATTGATTTGGCTGGTAAGCGGATGAGGATTTCTCTGATGATCTCTGGTGGAAGATCGATTGGTTCCGGTGAGGCTTCTCTCCTCCGCCGTTCGTTCTTTGTCGTCGTCTCCGTTAGAGCCTCGCCGAGGAAATCGATGAGTTTTTTATACATTTTGTTTTGGCGTTTTGCTTGTGGCACGAAACTTTCTTTAATTTCACCTCTATATTCGGGTTTAAACCGGTTTTGGAAAACTGATTTGATTCCAAATTTCTCGGTTTACTAGTCAAACCGAAAATAAATAGTATTCGTTATATATTATTTCAATATAATTCGTGTTTTAGAATTTTCACACATATTAAAAAAAATAATCAAAATTTAGTAAATACAATTAATATCATAGAATTTTACTATTTACTTTTATTATATAAATTAAAAATGTGAAATATGTATTTTTAGAAACAAAATATTTTTTCCAAAGCATGAATTATATTAAAATAGAGGGAGTAATTGTTTTTTGGGAAAAATTTTCAATTAAATTTATAAAGTTTTTATCACAAAATAGACATCAAAAACTAAAATGACCAAAATAGCATTTTTATTTTGAAAATTTTAATTTTAAATTTTAAAAAAATTGAAATTTTACCCCTAAAACCCAACTCCTCACTCTAAATAAAAAGATCTAAAATTAGTTAACCAAAGGATATAAGTGTATATTTGCTTATTTTTGATAAAATATTTAAATCTATTTTGTTCACATTTTTAAAGTTTATATTTGTGAGAAAAAAAATAATTTAGGTCTATATTTGTGGTCGTTTTGGACACAATGCCCTTAAATGTTATCGTCGCTTTGACATATCTTATCAAAGTAATGATCTTCCTTCTGCGATGGCTGCTCTTTATGTCACAAATGACCCTCCCTCGGCAGAACAGACCTATAATGGATCTGAGTGGTATCCAGACACTGCAGCGTCTGCTCATGTTACAAACTCACAGCAAAACCTTCAGTCAGTGCAAGCATATCATGGTAATGACTCAGTAATGGTAGCTGATGGTAATTTTCTGCCGATAACTCATATGGGATCTGTACCTCTGCAAACAAACCCTGGCTCAACAGGTATTCTTTGTCTAAAAGATGTTTTAGTGTGCCCAAATATAGCAAAGTCGTTGCTCTCTGTTTCAAAACTTACAGTTGATTATCCTTGTGAGTTTACAGTTGACTGTGATGGTGTATATGTTAAGGACAAGCTAACCAAGCAAGTCCTAACTCAAGGAAGTAGGCACAAGGATCTTTATGTACTGGAAAACTCAACTTTCACAGCTTTCTACACGGCTCGTCAAGTGGCAGCAAGTGCAGAGGTTTGGCACAGAAGATTGGGTCATCCAAGTGCAGAGATTCTACAAATGCTATCTAAAAGTCTGTCTATTAGCGTCAATAAAAATTTGTCCTAGATTAGTGACTCTTGTCAGCTTGGCAAAAGTGCTAGATTACCTTTCTCTAATTCTATTCATGTATCAAGTGAACCTCTTGAGAGGATAAGCTGTGATCTTTGGGGTCCTTCTCCTGTTACCTCATTTCAAGGATTCAAATATTATGTTATTTTCATAGATCATTTCTCAAGATATTGCTGGTTTTATCCCCTGAGACAGAAATCTGATTTCCTGAAAATATTCATCATGTGGCATACGTTGGTTGAGAAGCAATTGAACAAGAAGATCAAGATGTTTCAATGTGATGGGGGAGGAGAATTCACAAGCAACTCCTTTGTTTCTCATCTCTCAAGTCACGGCATTAAGCATTTGATCTCTTGCCCTCACACGCCACAACAAAATGGCATGGCAGAGAGGAAGCATAGACATATCACTGAACTTGGACTGTCCATGCTATTCGATGGGAAGGTACCTCAAAAATATTGGGTAGAGGCGTTCTTTACATCTTGTTTTCTCGGAAATCTATTGCCATCTTCAGCTCTGGCCGATAACAGAAGCCCTTATGAGGTGTTGTTCAACAGAAAACCTGAATATTCAGCTCTTAGAATATTTGGAAGCGCTTGTTACCCGTTTCTCAGACCTTATGCTGCAAACAAACTAGACCCAAAATCATTGCAGTGTGTGTTTATTGGGTACAACGAGAAACACAAAGGCTACAGATGTCTTCACCCACCAACGGGCAGAGTATACATCAATAGACATGTGCTATTTGATGAACAAACTCTACCTTTTTCTTCTGTGTATGCGCATCTCCATCCTCAACAGTCCACTCCACTGACTTCTGCTTGGCAACAAAGCTACCTCTCAGCTCAGTCAGCTCATATGTCGAGCAATTTATCTAAGAGTCACACTTCAACTCCAGAACTCATTCCGAGCTCTTCTTCTCAAGAGACTGTGTCTGAGACATTCTTGCGTGTCACACCTCTTCAGTCTGTCCCTCAGTCCAGCTCTTCATCAGTCTCTGCACAGAGTATTGAACCTCTTGGTCATAATATACCTGAAGTACTTCAACAAAACACTGACACAAGAGCTTTGAATTCTGTTCAGTTTGGTACTTTGCCTTCAGTTTTGCTGCAGAGTCCTGTGAGTATCGACAACCCTTCTGCTAGTACATCACAAAGCACTAGCAACGACAGTAATCTGAGTACCTCAGGCAACTCTCTACAGTCCAGTCCTGCAGGGAACAACTCAAATGTGTCTCATCTGTCTCAGCATCCTATGATCACAAGATCAAAAGCGGGAATCACCAAGCCCAACCCGAGATACACATTATATCATGTTACCACAACACCAACAGAACCTAAAACTGTGACTGCAGCACTTAAACATCCAGGCTGGTTTGGTGCAATGACTGAAGAAATGGTCTCTTTTGATGAAACTGATACATTCACATTGGTTCCTTATCAACCAAATATGCATATTCTTGGGTGTAGATGGATCTTCAGGGTCAAACTAAATGCTGATGGTACTCTGAAGTGTCTAAGATCTCGACTTGTTGTTAAAGGATATGATCAAGAGGAGGGTATTGACTACTTAGATACCTATAGCCCTGTTGTTAAATCTCCTACTATTCGAGCCATACTTCATCTTGCGACAGTTAACAACTGGGACATCAAACAACTAGATGTGAAACATGCTTTTCTGTATGGTGATTTGAGTGAAACTGTGTACATGCACCAACCTCCAGGATTCATCAATACAGAGAAACCATCTCATGTTTGCAAGCTTAACAAGGCTATTTATGGGCTCAAACAGGCTCCACGTGCTTGGTTCAATAAATTCAGTGATTTTCTTCTTGCATTTGGATTCACTTGCAGTATCAGGGATCCATCTCTGTTCATTTACAGACGTAATGGAGATATTATTTTGCTTCTTCTTTATGTTGATGATATAGCGCTGACTGGAAGTAATAAAGATCTCATCAGCGCCTTACTTGCAGCACTTAACAGGGAATTTAAAATGAAGGATTTGGGGCAATTTCATTACTTTCTTGGTCTACAGACTCAGTTTCATTCAAATGGACTATTTCTGAATCAAGAAAAATATGCAGAAGATCTTCTTCATATATCAGGGATGTCACAATGTACTCCAGTCTCGACTCCACTACCTCTGCAGCTAAACAGGTTTCCTGATGAATCGTCTTTGTTTCCACAGCCTACCTATTTCAGAAGCCTAGCTGGTAAGTTGCAGTACTTGACTCTAACTAGGCCTGATCTACAGTTTGCTGTGAATTATATATGCCAAAAGATGCATGCTCCATCTGAAAATGATTTTCTGCTGTTGAAAAGAGTCTTACGTTATCTTAGAGGAACAACAAAGTTTGGAATTTCTTTCAAATCTAACACAGATTCTGCTATAAGAGCCTATAGTGACAGTGATTGGGGAGGTTGTCCAGATACTAGAAGATCCACTGGTGGTTTTTGTACATTTTTAGGATCCAACCTCATCTCTTGGTCAGCACAAAAACAACAGTCAGTGTCTAGAAGCTCAACGGAAGCTGAGTATCGCACTCTATCTGATACAGCAGCTGAGATAGTATGGCTTATCAATCTTATGAATGAGATAGGAATTCCTCAAGCAGCAACACCTGAATTGTTCTGTGATAATTTATCCGCAGTCTACCTATCTGCAACTCCAGCTATGCACAAAAGATCGAAACACTTTGAAGTTGATTTTCACTTTGTCCGAGAAAAGGTGGCTCTAGGCAAGCTGATTGTCCATCATATACCTTCAGTTCATCAGCTCGCAGATATATTTACAAAGTCATTGTCAACTCAGAGCTTTCAGCACTTGCGGTCCAAACTTGGTGTGCTCGTTTCTCCCACACAAAGTTTGCGGGGGGATGTTGGCAAGAGAGACAAGGCGAACACAGTCTGGAAATTAAAAGAGAAAACTGAAACAGAACGTGTTCCAGAAACAGAGAAGAAGGAAGAAGAAACAAATCAGAGTCTGAGCCTGGAGCAAGAGAAAATGCCTTGGGCTGAGACAAGTTTCACCAAGAATGATATGGGCCTGCAAAAGACAAAAACGAAGCCCACTCTGAAGGAAAAACAAACAACGGTCACTTTGAGTTCTGAAAGAGAAAAGAATGAAAAAGACAAATGCAGTGGTCCTGCTGTGTACGGAAGAGAGGAGCCAATAGAGTTGAAGAACAGCTTCAGACTGCTGGAATCCAACGCTAAGGAGTAAACCAAAGTGACAGCAAGGCATTCATCTAGGGTTTTCACTTTCAAGTATAAATACAACTCTTAGATTGTAATAAAGTTTTTGAGCAAGAAATACAATGAAAAGTTTAAGTCTATCTCAGTTTTCTCTCTAGAATAAAGTTTGTTCCTCTGCTTTTATATCTCATGTTTTTTTCCGGTTAATTAGTCAAATTGAGCATAAACTACATTCTTTGCTTTGCTCCTTATTATTCTCTATGGAAAGAGTGTAAAACACAAAGGATGCAATCATTCAATACACTATTATGAAGTTCTTGTCTACTCTCGATAATCATGTTGGCTTCAGGGGACAGATGTTTCAAAGCACAAACATTGCATTGGTTTATTACGAATGTATTGTGAAAGATTAGTTTTTTTTTATATATATAATCTTCATGTCTCTGCTGATCAGACCTTCTGCGAATTGGAGCATGTTTGAGAAATGAATGAGAATCAAATGAACATTGATGTTTGCTGTTG